GGCTTCTTTTAAATTCTGGAAGTATTTGATCTCAGAATCTGACCTCTATTAGTCACTTACCTGTCTCTAATTTGAAGAAGGCCTGTGATAAAGGTTGCACATCTTCTCTGGGTAGTTTATAGACCATCAGAGAAGAGTACCTGGAAAGAAAGAAGGCTGGATTGGTCTCTAAGCAGGTGGCTTAACTTCTATGGCATCCACTATGTTTATTTTCATAAATAAGACTCTTTGACATAATTGAATCTTTGAGAATGACGTCACTGAAGCAGGCCAGTTGACAAGAAGAAAGAGAAAGGAAAGATGGATGAGAATTGGTTCAGTATCTCAGGCTCCCTGGAAGGACCCATGTAGTTTAGGCAACTTTTGAGACTGATTTTTCCCACTCAGTCTTGACTAGGAACACAGGCTCCTTTTTACCACATACCTACATAGGATTTCCAAACTGGGTAGGAATCTACTTATTCAATACAGAGTCCACATTTAAGTACCTTCTCCCCAAACTCTCAATGCTATTCTCAGGCAAAGAAGACTCTGACAGTCTGCAGGAAATGAAACCATGGTTTCTTCAGAAGGGCCCAGAGTTCACCAATTGCTGGTCAGGCACTTATTTAACTACTTATTATCGACAGATAATCAGAACACATTGACTTCACTTCAAAGGTTTTATTTTGTTTCATTTACAGAGCGTTCTATTTCACTAGCAGTGTTTATTCATTAAGCCTATTTGAGGTAGTGTATACAGAATTAGGGCTCTTACAAATATGGAATAAAAATAAGAGTCATATGCTCTTGTCATCAGTCAACTCCCTGATTAGTATTTTAGTTGTGTCTGTGTGTTCTTCTATTAGTAAAGACACTGGTGAAATACAATTGGTGTATTCCTATAAGTACTGGGTTTTTACCCAAGCAATTCATCAGCAGATATTCTTTAACAAATTTGCTCTTCAGGCATTTGGTTTATCCAATATATCTGGAGCAGGAGTGGAAATTACAAAGGCACAAGATAAACGTGGGAAGAGTACCTGTGACCATGCTTAGATTTCTACTGCATTACCACACTGAAGTCAGAGTCTTCTCTTTGTTAAGTAAGGGTGTGCAGCAACTCTAGGTCTTACCCAGGAATGTTGATTTGCTTAAAATGGTTCTTAATTTTAAAGATCAGTATGACAACTGGATAACCCAAGACCTAGACAAAACCTGCCACATAATTGAGCCACACCCATGTGACCTCAGATTTATACCACCCCTCTCTTCTCTTGTAGACTTGGAGCAGTACCCACAGTTCAGTGACCTCTTTGAGGTTTTCATACAGTGTGAACATGACCCACAGTGTCTACCAAGCCAGACAAATCCCAGGGGAAAGTGGATGTACTTTGCTAGATCAAAAACAGGAGCTATGGGCTGGAGAGATGACTCAGCCAGGATAGTGCCTGCCATGCAAGCATGAGGAAGGACATAGTTTATAACTCAGAACTCACAGAAACTGGATGTGTCTAAGTGAGTCTGTAATCCTGGCCCTGGTTCAGGGTAAGAGGGAGCTTGGACAGAAACAGGCTTATCCCTTGAGCTTGCTGGCAAGCCTGTGTATCAAGAATGCTTAGCTCAGGCTCAATGAAAGACATTGTGACACTGTCTCAAATGATAAGATAGAGGATGCTAACAGAGGCAAGAGACATTGACTTGTGGCCTATAGTGAGTGTGTGTGTGTGTGTGTGTGTGTGTTTGTGTGTGTGTGTCTGTGTGTGTCTGTGTGTCTGTGTGTGTGTGTGAATGTGCACAGACACATGTGTAGGAGATTAGGTATTTATTGTGCATGCGTTCATGAGCAAACAGACAGACCGACAAACAAACACATATGACATGTGCACCTACGAAATTGTGCTTACCTTTCCTGTCGAGCAGCCTGGGGGAAAAGCCTCATGATCTCCATATTGAGGGGCTCCACCTGTGTGGGAGTCTTCACCTTCATCTCCAGGAGATATTCTTTGCCAAATTTGCTCTTTAGATGTTGAATGGATCCAATACATCTGGGTCAAGAGTAGGAATTACAAAAGCACAAGACTAATGTGGGAATGGTGCCTGTGAGCATGTGGAGATTGCCACTCGGTCACCCAGCTCAGAGTCTCCTCACTGTTAAATAGGGAAGTGGCAACTCCTAGTCTTACCCACGAATGCTGATTTGCTTAAAAAGCAAATTTGTTTCATCTGATTATCACAGAGTGCACAGGTGTGGGATGAATAAAGGAACCCACCTCAGCCTCCCAGACACCATGATGGCCACTCGGTCACACACAGCCTCTGCCTCTGCCATGTAATGGGTGGTCAGGAGAGCGCCCCTCTCTGTGTTTGCAAAGGTGGCCTGGATGGCCTGCCTATTGTCAAGAGAAGAACTGTGATGAATAGAAGTCCTCCGACTCTTCTGGGCATAGGAGAGAGGAAATGCCATGTGGCAGACATGAGAAATAATCAATGTACACCAAGCAAGATGGGCGCACGGAGGAAGAGGACTGTCATGTCGGTTGCTAGAGAAACACTGGTGACACAGCAGAAGCTGTCATGAGAACACACTTAGAAGAAGGATGCTTGAGAGCACACATTCTGAGTAGAGAGGGACTGTTTATGAGACTGAACAAAGATTCAATTCTCTGAACTCCACTGTGAACCATCAATAAACCTTTGTAAGTTTTCATCCAAATAATAGTTTTTAAGGATGTGGATAATGTTGGCCACAGTTACTTCTTTTAATCTAATAATATTAACACAATTCATGAACTCCCTACCAGCTGTGATGCAGCCATGACAGCGACAGTTGCTCACCACATTTGCTGCTGCCCCTCAGGGTCCATTCCGGTGGACGGCTCATCTAGAAGTACCACAGAAGGGTTCCCCAAGATGCTCAGCACAAAGCACAGCTGCAATAAGAGGGACAGCCCATGTGGCATCACCTCAATTGTGGCTGCTGAGGTACTCTCAAAGCCCTTCCCCTGAAGCCCTGCCTATACCTTTCTCTTCACTCCCTCTGACAGGGTCTTCACAGGAGACTTCAGCTGGTCTTGCAGCTTGAGTGCATCTGCCAACCTGAAGAGAGACAGCAGAATATCACTGACCTCTCCAAGGTGGAGATGATGGGAGGGTGGGACAGTGAGCCTGGCCAAGATGGAAGAGTCTTGCCCAGGAAGGTAGCTCAAGAAAAGTACTGAAACATTCAACAGGGTCAGGGTAAGAAAGGATGCAATCTCTGTGGCCAAGAGAGATGCATTTTCCTGTTTTTAAATTGTTAGTACAGTGTCCAAATTCTTCTGCAGTTTAGGTTATATTTAAAGTAACTCAATTATTTACTATTGAATACTAACTATTTCCCCTCCATCCTTAAAATGAATAAGACTTTGAAGTTTTCTCTACCCCACCTAGTCAATCAATAGTACCTCCTATCCCACAATGACTGTGAATGTGGCCATCTCCAGCCTTTCCCCATCACTTGGGTACAGAAGCAAATACATGTAGACCCCATGTACCTTGCAATGGCCATGTTAACATCGCTTTTTCTCATGCCCTTTATGGCTGCGAATATCTCCAGGTGTTCCCTCACAGTCAAGTTGTGCCAGAGAGCATTTTCCTGAGGACAGTACCCCAGGAACCCTGGGGTGCCCCCTGTGCTGTTCCCTTTCAGCAGTACCTATGGATAAATGGTCACTGTCAGGGCTCAAAAGATGTATTGTTGCCCAAAGTACTTTTGTGACAGGCTTCAGTGACAATCTCAGAAAGGCAGAAGGATTCATTCCAAGAACAAGTGCACAGACTCAAGAGTCCAAAAGTTCCATATTACTTTGTATTAAAGAATGATCCAGGGGTAAATATAAATAAAAACCATGTCAAGTGGCTGGAGAAATGGTTAAAGTGCTTGCCGCATAAGCACGAGGACCCATCCTATCATCCACATTACAGATGCAGCAGTGTTAATACCTATGACCCCAAAGCTGGGTTGACAGTGATAGAAAAATCCCTGGGACTTGATGACCAACTGATCAATGTAAATGAGTAAATCCAGGTTCATTGGAAGACAATCTCAGATAAAAAAGAGTATGACTGAGGAAGACGTCCAACATTTTCCTGTTGGCTCTTCACGCATGCTCACACATGCACACGTATGAACATGTATGTACAAATAACAAGTGAGATATCACTTCACATCTGTAGAAAGACTACTATCAAAAAGGAGGATGGACGTTAAATGATCAGGAGAAAATGGAACTATTGTCCATAGTTGATGCAAATGCGTATTAGTATAGTCAGTTATGGAAAATGGCATGATGTCTCCTGTGGAGGTGGGAAGGACATGGCTGAGGTATGACTGGAAAAGCCCATATCCCGGTACGTTGTCAAAGGTATTGAAAGCTCATTTCCTTTGCTTTGCTTTTTTAATCAAAATGACCTTTTCAGTCCTGTGTTCCTATTTGTAATATTGAAGATGAAGTCAACCAAATGTCCATTACAGGATTAATGTGTTTTCAAATGTGGTGATAGAGACACAACATTATACTATTCAGCCTTTAAGATGAGAAGGTCTTCTTTTGTCTGTGATAACATGGATGAACCTAAGAAATATGAGATGCTTTGCTTTGTATTGCTGTGATAAAACTCTGACCAAAAGCAGCTTGAGGAGGAATGGATTTATTTTGACCTGCTTTTCCAGATCATAATCCATTGTTGATGAAAGTCAAGGTAGGAACTTAGTACAGGAACCTGAAAGCAGGGACTGAAGCAGAAACCATGGAGGGATGCTGCTTACTGCTTAGGTTTCCCTTGCTTGCTCAGTTACATTTCTTATATAGCCCAGACCCGCCTGCCCAAATGTCATATTTCCCACAGTGGTCCATGCCTTTCTACATAAATTAGCAATCAAGAAGATGCTCCACAGATGTGCCCATAGTACAGTCTGTTGGTATCAATTCCTTGGTTGAGAGTCCCTCTTCCTCAGTATGTCTAGGTCTGTGTCAGGAAGACTAACCTTGACAGTGTGGAATGTGAAATCAAGCAGGCACAGGAAACAGACACTTCCTGACTTTATTAATATACACAAGTCCACCATTTAAATAAGTTAAACTTGAAGCAATAGAAAGTAGAATGACAGGACTGGAGGCATGGCTCAGCCCTTAAAGGGGAGGCTCACAGGCTCTGCCCTTAAAGGGAAAGCTCACAGGCTCAGCTCTTAAAGTGGAGGTTCACAGGCTCACAACCAAAAGTATAAAAAAGCAGAATGATGAGCAGGGGAGGATAGAAGAAGGGGCATACAAGAAAAAGGGGGATTAAGCCAAATCAGTAGTTTCATTTAGACAGGCAGAGTGAGCTCTAGAATTTACTGCACAGAATAGTGACTGTAATGAGCATGCACAAAAGTGATATAATTTAATCCTTCCACACTGGAAGCATATCCAAAGATCTGCACTGTACCTCATGAAGATTTCTGGTTATAATGCCATTTGAAAGCTTTTAAAAGATCAATTAATACTTTAGGCTTTGTACATATGCTTGCTTGAGAGTCTGTGAGTGTCGGCCCATGCATGCCACATTGTGTGTGGAGATAGAAGTAGCACCTGAAGTGTCAGCCCCAATCCTCTACCTCATACAAGATATTTGCACAGCAAGCCCTTTTCCAACTGAGCTATCTCCTCAGACTCTACTGTGGTTTTTGAGACAGGCCTGTCATTGGTCTGGAACTCACCAAGTAGGTAAGGAAGGCTCAACAGCAAGTCCCAGGGATGTGACAGAATTTCTCCCTAGCTAATCGTGTATTAAAAAAAAAAAAAAGAAAAAAGAACTATGCCAGACTTATGCATCTTAACATTATGGCTGAGGTCCAAAAATATATTTACATTATAATAAAAATATTTTACTGTAATTGGCTAATGTGACAATTTTATTATTTTATATAGTCAGCCTTAAGCTTTATTGTAATAATTGTAAGAAAACTTTTCTGAAAGTTGTGCTGTTCTTAAATATGACCAAAATAAACCTATTCAAGGTCAGACTCTAGATGTTTGAGACAACACCAGCTTAAATGTATTGAAATGGATTTCCTTTTACCTCATCCAGATCATTATTTTGCCGAATTGCCATGTCAGGAGAGAAGAAGAAGGTATTAGCTGTGGACCGGACTAGGAGAAACTCATTCACAGAAGATCAAAGACCAGGAGCAAAGGCCTGTCGAAGGATGAAGTTTGCTGTATTCTTGGCCAAACTCAGAGGACAGAAGTAGCATTGTGCGGAGTGAAGGAGGGCACAGGGACAGACGTTGAGAGAAGACATAAAAGGCAACTCTTGAAGCCACCTGCAAGACAGGCCAGGGCCGACAGACCAGTCACAGAGCAGGATAGTCATGTAAGTAGTTAAAGCTAGGTGACGAGTGGCAAGGAAGGCATCAGTAGCTAGAGTTGAGGAGTCCAGCTAGGGTAGGCTGTGCCATGAATACCGCACAGACCCGCTTCTGACTTTCTGCCCCACCATGGCTTCCGAGGTACTGTGTATATGAGTTTCTTCTTCCTACACTGTGGAATGTTTGACAGTTATGTTCCTGTCTCTCTTCTCCCTCACTAGCTTTATTACCAACACTCTTTTCTGGCACAGTTACACAGACATCTGCCCTTCCCGCAGCCATTTTCTAACGTATCTCTGCCCTGTAAATGTGGGGACGGGAAATGACCTGTCTCTATTCCCTGGCATCACCTCTCCTGGCTAAGTATGAACTTTGTTTGCCTGGCCATTTTGCTTCTGAGGCAAGTGGCAAGCTCACAAGCAATTCAACTTTACACGCCTGCTTTTCTACCCTCTGCTACTCTAAGAAGCACCTTATTGGATTTGTCCAAAAAAGGTTTTAATACAACTGTATGAGTTCCAAGATTTACGAATTAGTAATGGTACTTCATAAAAATGAGCAGTAGCATGCTGAAATTATAAAGGCCATTTAAAATTATAATTAGTGGATTATGTGGTCCAGTAAGCAGAATCTGTTAATATTTTCATAATAATTAGTATTTTGAAGATGAATAACATTCCTTCTCAATACACTCATGGGAAAAGTATAGTTTCAAAGCATTCTTGGAAGCCTGCTAAGTGATTATGTTTACAGTCAGAGATCAGAGCTGTTCTCAGTCATGGTCAAAGAAGGTTCCTTTTGCAATGGGATGAGTTTCATAAGTGTTACGGAAAATAAGTGATTCTTAAGTTCTCAGAACTAATAGAATATCTTTGTCACCCTTTCCAAGGCTCAGGGAACACTGAAACAGAAGAAACAAAAGGAACATAAAAAGGATAGAATGGGGTGGTGTGCGGTGGACTCCTGAATCTGACACGGGCTTCATACTCATGAATTCATAGCAGCTGGAGTTATGTACACAAGACTTCTATATGATTAGACCTGCCAACATTTCATTTTAGATGGTGGAGAAGCTCAGGAGGCCCTAGCGATTACTGGTCATTAATAGCAGCTAGGTTGTTTTCCTCAGTGGTGTGGCTACTGATAAGTTGCTCATGCCACACTCATGCAAGCAACCCTAATGAAGTTTAATGAAAACACAGAGACAGGAAGTAGGAGGGAAAATTTTGGAGAACAAAAAGGGTCTCAATGTGAGAGGGAGGGAGAAAACAAAAGGTAAAATGTGCTGAATATAATAAAATTAATTCCATACACATAAAATTATCAAAATATTTATAAGCATCCCAATTGAATGGTTAGTATCTGTGTCTCTTAAAGTGAGACTTTATAATTCAGTATAATATTTTTAACACATTGAAGAAGAACGTTTCTCAGGTTGTCATCTGAGCATTGTTGGAGAAAATACTATCTCCCGTCTACCTACCTGTCCAGCACTTGGCTTGGTTTCTCCAGTTATCATCTTAATGGATGTACTTTTACCAGCTCCATTATGTCCCAGTAATCCTAAAATCTCACCTGAGAAAAGGAAGACACGTTAGTAACGATGGTGACTATTACAAGATTCTCAGGTGACAAATGCTTTTCGATAGGCCTTAAATAAGATTTTATATTTCAATTGTCATTTTATGTGAAAGGATGTGAATAAAATTGGCATAGAACTACGCAGGGCAAGACGTGGCTGAGCACTGAGGAGGTGTTGTGTTCTTGTAGAGGATCTAAACTTGGTTCTTAGAACTCATAACAGGCATCTCATAACCCCTTAAACTCCACCTCCTGGGGATCTGGTGCTCAACCTAGATCTGGAAGCATCTGTTCTAACAAGTGTGCAGGCCCACACACAATGTATGCATAAGTTAACACAAAATAAATCTTTAAAAGGATCATGCTCAAGCACTATAAAATACTACTTATTACATACCCTTAGTAAACATCTCAGTTCAAGAAGAACATTAAATACTTGGCTCTAATGTAAAGAAAAGAATTGGGTGTCTGCTTTTATCACTCCTGTTTCATATAGTACTAAAAATGACAACTACAGCTACTATATAAGAAAGAAAAAATATATGGACAAAAAAATAGACTATTGAATCATCCCTGTTAGCCAATGATATGATTCTACACATAGAAAATCTTTTAAATGTCCACAGAAAGATCAAAGTGGCAGGTTAGGAAGCCAGCATACAAAATAGGCAGCTTTTCTTTGAACTTTAAATTTATTTTATTTACTTTATGAGTGTTTTGTATTCTTTATTTTGTATGAGTGTTTTGTCTGCATTTAGGCCCGTGTATCACATGAGTCCCAGGTAGCAGCCAAGGTCAGAAGAGGTTATCAGATCCCTCAGAACTGGAGTTACTGGTGATGATGATGAGCTCCTATGTGAGTACTCGTAACGAAATGCAGGTTCTCTGTGGGAGCACCTGGTCTTAACCACTGAACTATCTCTCTAGCCCCAAGTGGAATCAGTATGAACAGACGGAGAAAGAAACCCATTCACAAGTATACAAAATAAGGCATATAGCAATAAATATAAGTAAGTGGATAAAAAATTCTTTATAATGAAAATTACAGAGTAGTTGAGAAAGAAACTGAAGACACTGAGAAATGAAGGAAACAAACAAAAGATGGAGTGAAAGCCAAGGAGGGGCTACTTGATACTGGATAGATGGTGGACAAGTCTGGGAGTGGAGGACCAGGGAGAAGCTGGGTGGCTGGATATGAGCAGTATAGCACATTTGCATGTATGAAAATGTCGGGGTAAATCCCATTAATCTGTACAATTAATATGCATTAATTAAATAAAACTATATGATGGTATAGAGATGGTAACAGCTGTGACAACACTGAAAAGGAATAGAAACTCTTGAGTTTCAGCCACTTGCCCAGAGTCATAGTATGAGAGGAATGTCTAAGTCATACTGTGTAATATAGAGAGAGTCAGAAGTTGGCAAGAATTCACTTAAACTGTGGTCAAGATATCAGGTTGGAATAGCACAATGTAGGTCAGTTCCCTGGTAAACAATACTGATTAGGGGAGCAGCTGCACTGATTTAATAGGAAGACTGTATTTTAAATGGTTTAGTGATAAGGAATGCTTGTGATTTTCACACCAGTGTGATTGTGCCCCTACTCAAAGGGAAAATCATTTCTGTTCAGAAAGAAGCAGTCAACAGTCACTCTACTGGGAAAAGAAGAAATAGCATAGCTTCTGAGCAGGCTAACTGAAGGACAGGGACGCTTAAGTTTGGAGGGTGTTCCTGAGCCAGAACCAGTGTCCAACCTTTTCGAACACAAAAAGAGATGTTTCTTGTGGCTATCTTCTTCTTGCTCTTAAGAACGAAGCATTTCTTTTTTCCCTTGTACTCCTTGCGAAGGCAGCTGGCAATGATGGCTGGCATCTGCAAACAAGTCATGCCAGTGAATGGTCATTATAAACATAAGTCTGTAAGTAGAATCTCAAAACCAACATGGCTTGGCCTTGGTGCCTCTAGTTATTCTTAGGTAGTACACCTAAAATCTATGTAATTTTATTGATGTCCAACAAATACATATTCTGAATTCCCAGAACTTTCTTTGCACTAATATGGGATCATAGCAAGACATAATTTTCTTATGTTTAGTAATATTTAAAAACTTTTTTTGTGATACATCAGCCATTGTAAATTTTACCTAGAACCCTTTAATTCAGGCATTAATAATGTTTCAAAATAATATAATTGTGTTGTTGTCTTACATTTAAGGATGAATTGTTAGCCTTCAAAGGGTCTCAATTTCACACCTCGCTAGCTTTCTTTGGTCAATTGAAGGAAAAATAAAAAAAAATCGACTCCAAAAAATTACATTAAAACAGAAACTAATATAATTAAGCCTATCATCTACCATTTGATCAGGTTCTAGTCATTTCCCTTATTGTGCTATATACTGTGCTGTCTTCTGCAGAACATCTTGATACTGCAAGTGGTGTGCATTTATAAGGTAAAATATCTTATTGTCAAGAGAATAGAATCCCTCAACACCCTGGTTGAGCTAGGTCTTTCACTTGTCCAAGGGACTATTACCTTTGGGAAGTTGGGCTCATCTTAAGCCATGCTAAAGACATAGGTGTAACAATTAGTTCCTTAATGAGAGCTGTACTCCCCTGACACACTCTAGAATCCTTAACCCTACTACAGGCACTTAAAGGTTGAAGCTGTTTAAGGGCCCTAAACCTGCCATGTTTTATCAACTGTTCAGGAAAGTGAACTTCTCTTTTTCTTTTTTCTATCTCTTTTCTAAGCCTGCATTCTTTAACTTAACACTTTAGGCTTTCCTCCCCACACGTCGGGTTTCCTTGTTCTTTTGCTAAAGCATCCCTCCCTGCAATATGGCTGCTCATCTACCGTGTGTCTTAGCACCATGGAAGCTTCAAATGGCTTCCCTCTTCAGTGTACCTGCTGTGATTTTGCAGTTTGTCTGCCATGAGGGCTTTCATTTAAAATGTAATAAAAATGTCCTTAAGTTTCCATTTGAGCCCAGTTTTAAATTAGTCTAAGAACCCCCAAATGACATTCCAATTTCCACTGCATCACAACCATTCAGAATATAATGGTAACAAGGGAATCTAGTAGTTAATATACTCACTAGTGTTTAAAGAACCCGAAAGTGCTACAGTTTCCAATGCAAGAAATTAAAAAAACCTACTTGGACATCTTGAGTGGGTGTTCCGTTATAGAACACTAAATAAAGAAACTTGCATACTATCTGAGGAACTCAGAAAGCTTGATAGTCTTACATTCTCCAGTGTTGGCTGCATGCAAGGACAGCCAAAGTTGTCACTGTGATGACTACTTCTAACAATAAAAGTTGTAGCTGCCAATTTGAAGCCTGACTTCATATTTCACACATCTCACTATACTTTGACCTTTTAAACAAACAAAAAAGAATTCAGCTCTTATGAACTGGCTTTCAATCCTCTATTATCAATGCTCTTGGAGCTGGCTTGAACAAATCTAAGCATGAATGAAATGGTCAGGTGGAATATCTTAGTGTCAGGAGCCATAATGGGGCAAGCTAATAATTAGGTGATAATCCTGAAATTCTTGCCTTGAATTATTATATAATCTATGACAAGTCCATCCTCATCCAGCAAGGCTGTGGAGAACTTATTTTAGGAAAGATTCCTGCTATTTAAATATGTTTTTCCCATTATTATTATTTTTATTATTATTATTAAACATATGTAACAATCACTAAGCAATAGCACATTCCTTTGGAGCAGATCTCTGCAGACCCATGAAGGTGTACTGTCTTGTAGTGATGCTATATAGACAAATAGATGACTTCTTAAGTCTTAATGATGATCCTATAAGAATTCATAAAATTATATCAATGATTATTAAGCTCTTTTATAGTGGGACGGCTTTTAGGTCCCTTTCTGGTCATCAAAACTGCAATGAGAACTCTGCCAATCTCCCGAGTGTCATAAGTTTACTGCCCTTAGATAGTAACCAGAGTTTCTCCTGTTCAGAGCACATTACAATGAGGTCATAAAACAATTAACCAAAGGTCACTAAAAGGGAACACATGATTTATTATAAGTACTAGGACAGAAGAGAAAAATATTGCTTGGGTTTATCTATACAAAACTTCACTAATTTCTTAGTTATAGTTTAAAACCTTCGGTGAACCTGTGAAGCTAGACAGGTGATGAATGTTTAGCCAGATAATTGCGCCTAATGGATATGCATGTAAACATTCTGTATCGTAAACTTGTATTTCAATTTATGATTTGAATTTTTGTGTGAACTTGTGATGAACTTTGTAGCATTTGACCATGTACTCTGAATGACGTATAAGTTCTGAAGACAAAGACAGAGTAGTCGTAGCAGTAGTCGTGGTAGTAGTAGAACAGAGTAGTCTTAGATGTAGAGGTTCAGTTCGCTAGGTGGCGTCCTTTCTTTTCCTTTCTTTTTTCCCTGCTTAAAACTTCTCCACTTAGAATTTTGTCCTTTTCCCTACTTAGGACCTTTCCGCTTTTCCCCTTAGATAGCTTTCATAGGAAACTTTTTAGACTTACTAATAAACTATAATAACTTCTCTAAGTGTCTTCTCTTCCTGCAACCTCTATCAGGCATAAGTCAGAGCCCAGCAGATCCTGCTGAGAGAGTACAAAGGCCATTTGTCTAATCCTCTGCTACTCTTGGGCTGAGGTGATAAGTGCACCCAGAAACTGCAGTTTCTGGCCTCAGAGTATCAAACAGATAGCAGGTCAGCTACAGTAGCGTAGTAAGTGAGCTTTAGTAACATATAGAGAATAACATAAACCTTATTATACAGCAAACCTGAATATCTCCTAAGACCAAAGTCTTACTCCGAATCTCCTAAGACCAAGTGTTACCCCCACCAACACACTTCCAATTCCCATCCCTCTCGGCTGCTTCAAGAAGAACAAACAAGGAAGAGAAGAAAGAAGAAAGCACCTTCTCCTCCCACCAAGCTGGGGCTGGCTCCTGGCATCTTAGCACCTCACATTTTCAAGCAAGACCAAGTGCAGTAAGATTTTTTTTTAACCAAGAATACAAATGTACTGAAGAGTGGGCTGCTTGTCCCTGAGCAAGAGAACAAGTCAATGACTGTCCAATGATTGCTTTATCACTATGTATTCATGAAAAGTGCTCATTTCGTATGAAGCAGTTGAAGGTGTTCTTCATTTTAAAGTGGAACCCTTGAGCATATTACTTAACTGCAAACAGGTTAAGACACTTCTGCTCTGAACTGTTTTACAAAGCTTACCTCCCGGAATTCCTCTGAAGTCAAAGCATTTGCTGTCCTCACTCTTTCCAGACTCACATCTTCATCTTCCCCTTCTGGTTCTTCTGGATTGTTAAATACAGGATCATTTCTAGAAGAAATTCTATAGACAAAGATACCTATTATTAACTTACTATTGGTGTCCAGTTCTGTCCTATTTTTTATACATATCAGAGTAGACTGGATGAACATTAAGTCTTTATAACATCCATCTTTTGTCAGAATGCACATTATGCTCCCACTCCAATACTTAGTGGTCAAAGAGTCACCAAGTGAAGGAGACATGGCTTCATGGCTAGTGTCAATTGTCTTTATTAGGATGACATTTTTTTTTAACCTCAATATACAGCTTCATATTAATATCTTAGCAAAAATAATATCACATATTAAGGAATAAGTATTCTGAGAATAAAATAATACAAATCATGGATATTGTCAAAATTGTTTTTAGAGTGATGGACCTGAATGTTCTAAATCAGCTCTAGCTATGTGGATAGGCACAGCCTCTACTTTCGGATATCAGAGGAACCCTCGTGTCTCCATTCCAGGTCACACATTTATGACAAGATAATTAATTTAGGTTCTCTTCCCTCCCTCCCTTCTTCATTGTGGTGATAGGTGATGTGTCAAAGCTTGATTCTTCTATCCAACATTCTAAAACCAAACGGCACTGGTATGAGAGTAAACTGGCCAGCTATTCTCAATCCACTAGAACAGATGGGCTTTGAGACCTGAATTCACAGTGGCAAAACTAGAAAGTCCCAGTCAAGCAAAGTTTCTTTTTCTGGGTTTTTGTTTCTTTTTTACATATATCTAATTGTTTGTTTCATGTGTGTGTCAGGTGATAACAACTTTCAAGAGTTTTCTTTTTTTTTCTCTCCTTCCATGATGTAGGACCTGGGGATTGAACTCAGGTCGTCAGTCTTGGTGTCAGGTACCTTTATCCATTCAGCCACCTCACTCTTACATACAAATGGTGATTGTCAAATGTAGAATCTAAAAGTTAGTGAAGACTCAGAAGGACTAATATGCTTCTGGTTGAGTTCTTAAGCCTTGTTTGAATAGAGCACACTTACTTTCAAGCTCCCTGGATACCTAAACTCATTTCCTTTTCTGTTACAGGTTAATAGAAAATGCCCAGGACACATGGGACAGGTTCCTCACTCTAGCAGCAAGAGAGTTATTGTTTCTGCCATAACCCTCCCCACTTTTTAACTCTGTGGTCCTTTCTGGGTAGACTGTGTTCCCTCAGCTCTCCAGGCCACAAAGCTGTTGTATTTCAAACTAAGCTTGCTGCATGTGGTAATTCTTGGCCCTCTCTTGCACACAGTGGCAGATGAAGACCTAGATTTCCTGTGGTTTTTGTGTGTTGAACCTGTTTTAACTATGGTTACAACAATCATTATTAAGGCCCAGAGCCCATGTTCTGATAATCATACTTATAATTTCCGTAGCCGTCTCTTCATTAAAACTTCATGGACAAGACGTCCATGAAAATTTGGATGCTACCTTTATACAAAATAGTTCAATAAAGAACACAAAACCATGTGATTTCTCCAAACCTAAAGACGGGATCCATTCTCATTGTTTTCATTCCAAGCTTCCTTTCCAGACATCGAAGAATAACTAGGAAGATGGCAAAATGAAGAAAAGGCTAGGGGAAAGAGAGATGACCTCAGTTAGAAATACCAAATGCTAGTATCAGAAGTAAAAGGCAAATAACCTTCTACAGATGTGTACAGGATAGAATGGTTAACATTGCAAGAACTACCCATTCATCTGCTTACAAAAACAAGTCAAAATGAATGACATTCTTTGTACAGAAGCAGTGCAAGTGTTCATACTGTCTTACATTATATTATGCTCTGAACTTCATCCATACTTTAGGATACATCTTTACTTGTGTGAGTGCATGTATGTATGTGGGGAGGGGAGTTCAGAGAATGAAATTAGATATACTTCTTAATCACTCTTCAGTTTATCAATGGAGTCTACATCTCTCACTTGAACCAAGATCTTGTTGGTCTGCCAATCCAGCTAGCCAGCTAGCCTAGGTGACATCTATCTCTAATTCAGAGAAGTCATGACTACTTAGCATTTAAGTGAATATTGGACACATACACGCTAGCCCTGACACTTGCACAGAAGCAATTTATCCATTGAGCCATACCCCCACCTCTCTACTATGTCTTTAGAATTGGAAATATAATTTATTTTGTCACTGGATATTTGTTTTTAAAAATGGCTCTATGCTTAGAAACATATTGCTTTTTTGGGACTTAGCTACATAAAAGATCTTAATTTTCAAACTCAGGCTATGGGTGTTGATCAGTGATAACATTGTGTAACAGGTTTAAGTCCTGGGTTTGGTCTTCAGAACTGTTTTTTCACCCAAAATATGATCAAAAAAGCCCCCTGCATTTTTGAGGTAAGGGTGTCTCTCTGTGTACAGTAATATTTCAACAAGAAGGATACTTACAGCTAGCAAAAGCAGATAGGAATATTCCATTCCTTGTTCAGAATCAATTCCAGAAAATTCACGATTCTGCAAAGAAAGAACAAATTAAACATGAAGTTTTATAATCAATAAATTATATGCAAGTATGATTGGGCCATTGATCAATTCTACTAGTGTAGTCTTTCCCCAGATATTTCCATGGGCATAAAGGAAGTACCAATTGTTAAATATGTAGCTAGGGGTTGCTATTCTTCCTCTCATTGCCTAGGAGCCATGAGGCTTTTCTCTAAAGGATAACATCTGTGTTTAAGGATCAGCCACTGAGACAATCCAGAGAACAGAGGAGACAGGGCTTCTACAAGCAGAATTCCCTCTGTACCCATTGTCCCTTGGTGATGCTCCACTCTTTCCTGTGATTCCCCCATTTGAAAGTTTAGAATCTCTATGGAGTAAAGGTTAAATAACTTTGATGAAATACATCTGGTCTGTGAGCAAGGTTGAAATTTATTGCTGTTGTATCAGCTCTAGATAGAGTGTACCAAATACCAAAACGTATCATAAAAGCTACACCAATATCAGGACTTCGAAGCACAGAATTGAAGAGATTAGGGACAACTGTGTGTACACTAGTAGGACAGAGAACACCAAAGGATTTTATTAGTGTCAATGTTCTTTTCTCTACTGCCCACTACCCATGTCCCCAGGAAACAGCAGCAAATGTTAAATTGTCACTTGTAGGTAAAAGGGGCTATGGTATATCAGGCAAAATCTCCCTAATTCAATTAAGAATTTTCTACAGGTTTTGTGCCTTGGTTAGTGTCCTAGTCCCTCCATTGGAAGGCTTTTCTGGTTACAGGACATGGCTGTTTTAGGTTCCATATTCCCCACTGTTAGGAGTCTTAGCTAGGGTCACCTCATAGATTCCTAGGATTTTCCACTGTTTCAGGTTTCTAAGTAGTTTCAGAAATGCACCCCCACAGAATCCAGCTCTCCTCCTCCTCCTCCTCCTCTCTCTCTCTCTCTCTCTCTCTCTCTCTCTCTCTCTCTCTCTCTCTCTCTCTCTGACTTCACCCCACTTCACTTCATCCCTGCTGCTCCTCTCCCCACCACTTTCCTATAAATTTCCTATAAAATTCATTCCCTCATCCACTCCAGATGTCTACTTATTTCCTCTTCTCAGTGAGATTAAAACATTCCCCTTGGGCTCTCCTTGTTATTTAGATTCTTTGGGTCTGTGGATTGCAGCATGGTTGTTCTGTAATTTACGGCTAATATCCACTTTTAAGTGAGTACATACTATGAATGTCCTTTTGAGACTTGGTTACCTCACTCAAGATGATATTCTCAAGTTCCATACATTTGCCTGCAAACTTCATGATGTCTTTGATTTTTAATACCTGAATAGTATTACATTATGTAAATGAACCACATTTTTCTTTATCCACTCTTCAGTTGTTTCAAGTTTCTGGTTTTATGAATAAAGCTGCTATGAAGATAGTTGAGCAAGTGTCTTTGTGGGATGGTGGAGCATCTTTTGGGTATATGCCCAGGAGTGATATAGGTGGGTCATGGAGGTAGAACTATTCCCATTTTTCTGAGAAACCACCAAATTGGTTTCCAAAGTAGTTATATAAACTTGCACTCTCACCAGCAATGGAGGAGTGTTCCCCTTGCTCCACATCCTTCTCAACTGTGCCGTCACTTGAATTTTTGATCTTTGCAATTCTGACAGGTGTAAGATGGACTCTCAGCGTCATTTTTGATTTGCATTTCACTGATGACTAAGAATGTCAAACATTTCTTTAAGGTCTTCTGATTCTTGGCCATTAGAAAGTCTTCTGTTGAGAGAGTTCTATGTTTAACTCTGTACCCCACTTTTTAAAATTGGGCTATTTGCTTTGCTGATGTGTAGTCTTTTAAGTTCTTTATGAAGTTTGGATATCAGCACTCTGTCAGATGTAGGGTTGGTGAAGATCTTTTCTCATTCTGTAGACTGATGTTAAGGTGTCATTTGCTTTTCAGTTTCGTGAGGTTCCATTTGTTTATTGTTAATCTTAGTGCTTGTGCTGTTGGTGTTCTGTTCAAGAAGTTGTCTCCTGTGCCAATTTGTTTGATGTTATCCACTACTTTCTCTTCTATCAGATTTAGTATGTATTATTTTATGTTTCATCTTTGATCCACTTAGACTTGAGCTTTATACAGGGAGATAGATATGAAACTGTTTGTATTCTTCTACATGCAGACATCCAGTTTAACCCAGCACCATTTGTTAAGATATTTTCTTTTTCCCACCGTATAGTTTTGGCTTGTAGCTCAAACCTCAAGTGTCCATAAGTGTATGGGTTTACTTCGGGGACTTCAATTTGATTTCATTGATCAACCTGTCTGGTTTTATGCCAATTCCATGCAGGTTTTATTACTATTAGTCTATAGTACAGCTTGAGATCAGAGGTGCTGACACCTCTAGCAGTTATTTTACTGTATAGGATTGTTTTAGCAGACCTGTTTTTTGTTTTATTTTGTTTTTCCATATCTAGTTGAGTATTGTTATTTCAAGATCTGAAAAGAATTGTGTTGAAAGTCTGGTTGTAATTGCATTGAATCTCTAGATTGCTTTTTATAAGATGGCCAGTTTTACTGCTGTAATCATACTGCTCCATGGAGCATGGGAGATCTTTGCACCTTCTGTAATCTTCTCTGATTTCTTTCTTCAAAGACTTGAAGTTCTTGTCATACAAGGCTTTCACTTACCTAGATACCAACACAGCCACAAAACATTTGACCCACAATTTGTGCTGCCTACAAGATGTACGGCAGTAGAGATGGAGCAGAAATTGAGGGAATGACCACCCAATAACTGGCACAGCTTGATACCCATGCCATGAGAAAGATTCCACCCCTGACACTATTAATAATCTTCTACTATACTTGCAGGAGGCACCTAGCATAACTCTCATGTGACAGGCTTTGTCCAGCAACTAATGGAAACAGATGCAGAGTTTCATAGCCAAGTATTAGGCAACACTTGGGGAATCCTATTGAAGAGGGGTAGGAAGAATCAAAGAAGCCAGGGAGGTCAAGAATAGCACAAGAAAACAAATATACTGAATCAACTAACCTGGGCCCATAGGTGCCCAGAGAGAGTGAACCACCAAAGAGAGCATGCAAGGAATTGACTTAGGACCTCAGCACACATGTAACAGGTAAGCAGCTCAGTCTTCTGCTAGTATGGCCCACTAAGCTCCACTTAAAGCATTACACTGCTTGTCTCATGCAAAGTTCCAAAATTTACACTCCTCTAAACAAAAATATGATAAGGACTATCAAAGAAAAAAAACTCACTCCTGATACCAATTTCTGTATTAGGATTTCCATTGCTATGAAGGGGCAAAATGACTAAGGCAACTCTTATAGAGGAAAACTTTTAATTGGTATTTAATTTCAGAGATTCAGTCCATTATCTTCATGGTGGGAAGAATGCCATCATCTAGGCAAACATGGAGCTGGATAAGGAGCTGAGAATTCTACATTTTTATCTGAAGGCAGTCAGAAGGAGACTGGATTTCCATACTGGGCAGGCCCTGAGCATAAGAGACCTCAATGTCTGCCTACATAGTGATGTACTTCCTCCAACAAGGCCACACCTCCTAATAGTGCCTCTCCCTATGGCCATGCATCAAATACATGAGTCTATGGGAGTCAAAGCCTCAAACCATCACAGGGATGTAAAGTAAATTTAAAAAAAAATGAATTTAAAAAGGTAAAAAAGTAATAAAAAGACTTTAAATTTTCAGTCTTCAGAGTATATATTTTCCAACTCAAGACAAAGCTTTTTATAATGGCTCCCCTAATCTGAGACACTTATAGAAATGTCACACATTTCTTACCTCAAAATGTAATAATGTGCAGCCTCCCAGTGTAGCAGGTGGAATCAGGGCTATAGAACAAAACACTGAACTTTCTCTAAATAAATCTATTTGCATAAAACACATAGAGAAGAAAGAGACCTAGAAGAAAACGAAATACATATTTGTAGTTGCTTTCTAAAATGCAATGGAAGAGGTGAAGGGATGACTCACCAGATAAGACCATGGTTTTTTTCTTACAAAAGACCTGAGTCTAGTTCTGTGTACACATGTCAAGTAATTCACACTTTCCTGTAACTCCAGCTCCACCCAAGCCAACAGTGTTTTCTGGAATCTTCAACTTACAAATACACACATGCACTTAAAACACACACAAAAAAATCTTAAAACCAAAAATTAAATATATATTTTAATTTATTCTAATCTGATTTTAATTGTCATAAAATTAACATTATCACAAACATTTCTTCCTAGTCTTGGCTAAAATATTTGGCTTAACATTGGAATTTTGACAAAGTTGGATAAATATAGGATCTGATATGTAGGCTAAATATGCTATGGTCAGTTTTAATCACAGAGGAACAAAAATAAAGTAGGTTTGATGTTGTCTAGGGATTTAATAAATAAGATATAGGCAATAATCAAAGAGAAATATTTTGAACTGAACAGAACTGCATTTTGTAGAAGTATTTTCTCAGCTATATTGATAAGTTTATCAATTAGGCAACATGTTTTTGAGCACCATTGGAACTGGTAGAACAGAGGTCACAGGTGCAAACTTTACATCATTCCCTTAAACCTTCCTTCCTAAACTATGGCAAAGCTTTTCTAGAAGGAGCTGTGCTTCTCTTCAATTCATTCTGATGTCAGAGTACTATCTCTGACAACATTTCCATTCTAAAAGCTTCTAATTTTCCCATAACAAAACGTAGACACCTGTAGGAATAATCTGTGAGCATGTTTTGTAAGGTGAACCATGAATCTAGCTTTAAATTCCATCTTAACTAGGTCCCTGCCTGTGCTCAGCTTCCTACTGCACAGGCGGTTCATCAGTTTCTACTGTTTTATAAGATGGGTATGGCTTCCTTCCCTTTTGAATTTTTACTCTATTTGCCCTATCTTCTAAAGAAAAGATCATATCTTTAGAAAAATATCATCATTAGGACACCTTATTCCTTACTTACTTTCAGGGATTAATGCCTTATGTTTCTATGCATTTTATGGTTTTTATTATTCTACTTGTGGATATATCTTTATCTACATTTATATCTACATCTGTATGTACATATACTTATACATTTATATTCATACCTATGTCTATATCTACATCTGTACCTATATCTCTATCTATACCCATATTCATACCTATCTCTATAGCAATACCTATATCTACATTCTCTGTCTATATCCATAGCCATACCAATATCTATACCTAGTCTATATCTATATAGTTTTCATTATTCAGTTTTATGAAAATATGCCTTATGTCTGTGTCTATGTTAACTTGTGGTAATAAGTGATTATAAACTGCTGCAATTAATTTGTATAAAGTAATATTATGACAAGTTTCTCAAATACAAATACAGCATCATTTGATGCTGAAGTATATCAAGCCTTCCAGAATTTCAAATACAAAACATTAGGGGAGAAGTTTCATTCTCATTTAGCTCACTGGAGGAAGAGACTATGTTCCCTGCATGTTTTCTTCCTCAACCATCTCAAACTCTGGTACGTGAAAAAAAAAAACCAAGTATTTGTCAGACAGTAATGTAATTGAGACATTAAAACATAAATGCTAGAATAAATATATATTAGTTATATATATTCTCTTTCTAAGTTTAGAAAGTAAAGATTTTAATAAATGATTCTTTACAAGGGCTTCCTTAGCAATCAGATTTTAGCTTTAGATTTTTAATTAACAATATTTATAGCCTTCTAAAAATTCCATAACCTTTGTATTCAGGTAATTTCTTTTCCTAAAAGGAATTTAAAAATAATATCTAGGTTTATGATCCTATAACTAATTTAAAGAAAGTGAAATGAAAACAGATAAATTTTAACATACATGTCATACACACACACACACACACACACACTCACACATAGATAGATAAATCTGTGTCTATAACATGTATGTTAAAATTTATCTGTTTAATTTCACTTTATAAATATATATTTTATAAATATATTTTATATATATAATTATATTATGAAACTAGTGAAAAGTCAGAATAATACATTTGAAATATTTTAAAGTATAAAATATCATACATCAACCAAAACTATTTTTAAACTATTAGTACTTAATGCCATCATAAAAATAAAAACAGTAAAATACTTACAATATAGAAGCAAAAAGACCAAATGCCACTATTTTTCCTCCCCTTGCGATAAATGAATGAAATCACATATGTCATAAAAATAATTGACATGGCATAGCCACCAACATAGAGACTCTGAAACCAATAGGAAAACGAGAATAAATATTGTGACGTGAAAACTTTTGAATGTACTAATGTCATGAAACAATATCTTCATGTTCTTTCATTTATAATGATTTAAATATCACAGAGAGTGGTAAAGTGGGTGGCTCGGGATTGTCACTTCTCAGCAGAAACATCATAAAAAAAATTAATAAAGCCGACTTTGTCGTTTTTCTGCAAGCAAAAGTTTACATACAATACCTCACTCAAAAAAGACAACTTTGAAATGATAAGAATGCTTTGGTGTGTTCTGAGGGCTCTTGGCCTACCACAGAACCTGCTTGGAGATTGTCTGCCAGATGAATGCCTGTATTCTCAGTGTAGGATTTTAGTTTCTGGTGCCACAGAACTGGAGATTTTGGGGGAACAAAGGGGACTGTGACAAAAGGTTTGGGCATATGCAAAGAGTGTTACTGAATGTCCCAGTCAAAGCAGGCAGAGGGATCCAGTCATGGGGGCCCAAAGTTTAATCTCAGCCCTCAGGAGGATCTTCATAATTTCAAAGTCATCTTGGATTGCTAGGACTGCATAGTTGGACCCCATTCAAGGAACAACAACAACAACAAAAAAAAACCACAACAGGGAAAAAGCCACAGAGACAATTTTCTTTCATATGTATTTTAGGCACACTTTAAGAAACCCTTAAAAAGAAATGAAAATATAAAAGTGGTATATTGTATGTTACTGTCAAGTTTCGGGTTGAATCGCTTAATGGTGGTTGTTTTAAGAATGGTGTCACTTACCTGAATGAACAGATCTCCAGCTGTGAACATACTCTCTGGAGGGGCTTGGGCATAGAATGCAATGTACATGGAAAAAATGAGTGCAAAGTAGACTGGAACCTCAAACAGAGCCTGCCCGAACCAGTATGCAGATGGGGAGAGCCCTGAAATCCACAGCTGGAACTGAGCTCCGGTCTGGAAGGAAGTGCAATCATCAGTTGGATTTTTTTTTTATAAAACATGACATATATAGAAAATAACCAAATGAGTTATTCATTATTAGTGATTAAACACTACAGATGAAGGGACATGGATCATTTTAGAGCTTCTCTATCAAAATTTGCTGTTGTTACTAATAAAAATAATATATCCTAATGTGCTATCCTAGTTAATAGAAATAAACCAACCAAGTTACTGGCAGAGAAATCATGCAGTTAATCGAGATTGCCTTAATACTTACGAAGCAAAATTCCCCAGATGAGTACTAACTCTCAGTGGTAAAACAATTGATTCCTTATGGAAATGAAAGTAGCCACTTTTTATCATGTAAAATTGCCTCATTTGTTTTTTTTTCTCAATGAAAATGAGTGATTAAAACATTGTCAGTAATTACATCTTGCATGGTACTTTCAGATAGCTTTATACTTTCTTAATTTTAAAGTCATTAATGTATTTCATAGTAATATATATGGATTTTTAACAATTATTTTGTTTCACTAAATTTTATATTTAAAAAAATCCACCAAATTAAAGATAAAAACTTTGAAAGTTTTTTTCCAAGTTTATATTCTGTCATTACTCCCTCTTCTGCCTTAAGTAATCTAACAAAATGTATGATGAATGGTAATTATTGTCCCATGGATCATTAAAGTTCATATTATTTTTCAGAGCTGTTTTTTTTCTTTCTGTGCTTCAGTCTTACTGTCTATTCTTCTGGTTCATTCTTTTTTACCTGTCTGTTTGTTCTAAAAGCCATGTTCATTATTTTTTTATATAGCTACATTAAGTACTTATAGGAGCACACACACACACACACACACACACACACACACACACACACACACTTCCATCTATTTCCTTCTTCATTGTGTTCATTCTTTTAGTAAAATACTAGATCACATTAACTTTTTTTATTTTACTGTCATTTCTTTCATTTTCTTTGTCATTTCTGGGTCTGTTCTCAGTTGATCAAGTCTTGCCCCAAAGTTAGATCCTTGGGGGAAGCCCTACAACTGACAACTAGAATAGGTATTTCCAGTCCTGTATAACTTCTGAATCTGCTCATCTTACAGAGATCTGTACATTCTTGCCATCATGAAGTTCTACTCCACGAATACATAGCTCCATCTTGGGAACAGAGTCTAAGTAACCCTTGTGTAGAGTTCTACTGCCCCTGCTCTGTGTAATTCCTGCACTGAAGGAATGCTTAAAAGCAAATTCCAATACTCTAAACATTTTGGATTCAAAGATCTTCTTTTAGTTTAATAAGACCTTGACGTGCTGCTCAAGGACTGTCTGTGTTCCATGAGCTAGTTCAAAGAAGGTGTGTATGATGTACAACTCAAACTTTTATATGAAATCTCACCCAGTCAGTCTTCCACTGAAAGATTACCTTTTAGGCGGGCCAATCCTCATCACAATGTTTCTATTATTCAGAAGGAAACAAACAAAACTTATCTATCTCTTTTTCCCTTTCTTGTGGTCTTTCCATTTGTCCTACCCTTTTCCTACTTTTTCCCTTCCTTGGTTTGATACTTTTTTTTTTTTTGGTTTTTCGAGACAGGGTTTCTCTCTCTCTGTGTAGCCCTGGTGTAGCCCCTGGTGTAGTCCTGGAACTCACTCTGTAGACCAGGCTAACCTCAAACTCTCGAACTCAGAAATCCGCCTGCCTCTGCCTCACAAGTGCTGGGATTAAAAGTGTGTGCAAAACCGCCCGGTCCCTTGATCTGATTCATACTTTTTACTTCTATAAAGGTGCAATTATACATTAATCAACTGCTCGGTGTATAAACCTGGACACTATATTAAAGAAAAGCTCCACAATTATAAACAACTTCTGATTGTTTAGAAAAATGAAAGTTTTCATTATTTTTTACTACCTTATAGTCATCAATGCTGGTCATGGAAATGTAAGGAGGAACACAGGCCATGAAGAAGATCCATGAGAAGAAGTAAGCCACATAGTCAAATTTTCTGTGGTCGTTATCCTAGGAATGGAGGTAGTGCAAAGTGGAAAATCATTGTCTGGATTACATTGCTCAAAACACAGTCAATTACCTAAAAAATGGGCCTTGAGTCTGTTTTGAGATTTCCGTGTCCTTACATCCTAATCCTATTTTCAACATAGATTTTTGCTTATTTATCCAAATTTATAAGTAAACAATTGAAAGAAGCTACATGATATGATTATGAAAATGGAAAGTAATAATGAGAACAAGGGGTTCTCATTATGATGGTAAAATTCTAAAGCATAGGCTGACACTTAAAGATGATCAACATTTTTAGGCTTTAAATAATTATTGTGATATTTTGTCCTTTAAACCAATGCAACCAATTTAATATTCAGGAATTCCAACTCATCAATTTCACATCTTAAGGTTTTTTCCCATCTCTTCCTCTCCTTCCTTCTTCTTCTTCTTTTGATTTCTTTAACATAATTTTGTTTTGCAATCCAGATTGAACTTGAACTCATAATGATTCTGCTGAAACCTCACAAGGTGTGAGTCAGCATGCTTAGATTTTGTCTCTCCTAATTTAACATGCAGTGCTTACAGAGGACAGCTCAATTGAATATGCATAGTCATATATGATATAATGTAACATACTACTATCAAATTAAAATAAATATATAGTAAGATTGATACAAACACTAATCTAACTATGAAAGTAAGTCTATCAAGACCACTGAGATTATTCTGAATGGAACAATCTGGAAGACTCTAGATGAAGCAGAACCTACAAGAACATACCAACCTCAGGGAACGTGCTGCGGTCAGTTTGAATGTGTGCTGCTGGTGCGAACAGTCCAAGTAGCCCATTGCTCACAATATCCACCAGGACTGGAAAACAATTCAGTCTCCTGGTATTGCATGCCAATGTAAAGTTGTAATTCTAAAATTTAACAAAAAGATTTATCAGTCTGGAAGGGGAAAACATAAAGCTCCTGTACAAAATATGCAAAACTCTTCAAATACTGAAAGGATGGTATATTCTTTGTGACATGGCTGACAGAATAGAGATTCTTCAGTTTCTTTCTTTGAGATGCACAAGTCAGTTCTGTTATGTTTAAATACTTTAGTTAAGCAATGGGATATAATTAAAGTTTAAAACAAACCTCTAACAGGACAAACTAATTATGGCTGCTGTCCTGTAGCCATTTGCTTGGAATCTCAGTTTTCCATCCTGGATGGAGAAGTGAGATGGATAAGAATCAAGAAGTTCATGAGGTTACAATGCCTATGAGTAACTTAACTAGGAAGGAAGAGGGGACTCTTCTGTAGAGACATCTACAAGCTGTGCAGAGTACTGTGGGGATGCATCTCTTGGGAATTGCCACCCATGCTGGGGTGAATTCTGTGATGATACAGATACCCGATTCACCCTTAACTCCTGTAAGAAACCCTACAAGCTCATTGGTTCACTAAGCTAGGCTTCTGTGGAATAATAACTTTGGCTTTGTTCACATCTTCTCAATAAAAGCCATGTAACTTACAGACTTTATCCGATTTGGGGACTATCTTTGGAATCTCTGGCTTAAAGCTCCAGATAACAAGTTGAAATTGTATTTTTTTAAAAAATTGTTTTACATTTACTCATTAGTGCATTATTTCTCTGTGTGTACATGTATGTACATCTGTGTATGTATGTACATGTTCATTGTGCTTGTGTGAAAGTCAGAGGACAAGTTTCAGTAGTCAATTCTCTTTCAAGCATATGTGTTCCAGAAATCAAACTCAAGCAATAATTATATAATGAGATAACAGTGAATGTAACTTTATTATATTAAACTCATGAATATAATTCTCTCAATGATAAAGGAGGAATCTTTATGCATTCTCCTAAGTAAATTTTACGTTTAAATTGCATAATCATATCCCAAATATTCTCCTAAAATACAAAATATATACACAGATATGTTATTTGTTTACAATCTCTCAGATGCTGTTTTTCATTAAATTGCCATATAAGAGTCATAGCTCTGTTCCCTGGAGATGCACATACCTTCTCACCACCTGATACGATGATGGCTCCATTATACTGACTGTCCTCTGTGCCATTTCTAGTCCCAAAGGCATCAACTTCCAAAGCTATGTTCTGTTGCTCTAGTGAATGTATGAAGTCATTGATCTTTGCTCCTAATAGACAGTAAAATGTAAAAGGCACTACAAATCCCAGGGAACACCACAAGTTATGTATCAAAATGATTCTTCACAGCTATTTGATTGTTATATCAACCAATAGTATGGATTTTAATTCTCCATATATTTCTTTTCTGAACAAGTACCTTTCATTCCCTTTTGCTTTAGGTACATGTGTGCATGTTATTATATGTGTAAGAATGCATGCAAGTACATGCAATATGGAGGCCAAAGTTTTATGTCAGGTATTTTCTTTGATCACTCTTCATTTTCTGCATTGAACCAGAGTCTTTCCTTTTGGGCCAGAGATCATCAACTCAGTCTAACTGGCCAGGTGCTCTGGGCACCCCCTTTCTGGGATAATTCATAGGTCTACATATCCAACTAGTTTTATAAAGCCCATATTTTTATCAGTTAATTGAGAATTTCAAATATGCATAGAATCTATCTTGGTCATAGTCCCACTCCCTACTTCTCCAAAATCCTTTCACCTCCACCTTCCTACCTTAACACCTTCCTGGTTCTGGACTTTGTTTCTTTATAATCCACTGAGTCCAGTTAGTACTGCCCATATGAGCGCTGGTATGGGGCCACCCAATGGATCGTGGTGTCTTAGCTACTTCTCTACTGCTATGATAAAACACCATGACCAAAAGCAACTTGCACAAGTTGGGGTGGGGTGTATGTATTTACTTCGGCTTATAGTTGTGATGCTGCACAAAAAGAAGTCAGTCACACTCAACAATCCTTCATGTTAGCTCAGGGGATCTGAACTCTGTTCTCATGCTTGCATAGCAAGTGCTTGGCCCACTGAAACTCTCCTGAGTCTTCTATTGTCCTTTTATAGACTTTCTAAATGTGGTTCGATATGGTAATGATGCTCATGTACTTATTATCTCTTCCAAGTAAAAATAACTCTGATAATTAAAAACAACTTTTTTAACACCTTGTGCCTTTCAGAATAAAACTTCCTAGAATCAAACAACATATTCCACTGAACTAATGCCAGTGACAGTGATCATGTCATTTAAATGTTTTTAAATTTAAAATGCATGCCACCAACATGCTCCTCTATCCAACTATCAAGTCTCACTTTATAATCATTTTGACATTCTACTTTAATGATACTTTCATATAAACCGTGATTTTTAATGTGTGCTGATATAATATTATCATATTTTTGGCTTCATTGTTCCAATTTAAGATTGGGCTTCCTAAACTGAGTGTAAGACACATTCATCTTTCCATCATGTGTGTCTTTCTGAAGTAATGTTCTTAACAGTGACAATATTCATAGACCATATATTTAGCAACAGTTTTACCTGTTTTGTTGACAATCAGTAAGTTTGTGAGGGGCATCCGAGGTTGTTGGCCAGGTGTGAGGAAGTACATACGAGGATCGAGCTCCCAACAGTAGTCACTTTGATGGACTATCCTGTGAATATTTGCTGACAAAACATGCAGAAGTCCAATCCCCAAAATCAGAATCCTACACAGAAAAAAATTTAGAGCTTAGGCCTATAGTCATTGTCCAGTCTTCAAAGCTTTCCTTCAAAGACCTGGATATAGTAAAAGCAAGACATGATTAAAGACAGTCATTCATATGTATGGCTCTGTATCTTGGTTCTTAAATTATTCCTTGTCTTTAAAGTGGGAGCAACAACCAAGGATTTACCATCAGTATATCTCCCTTGATGCATTCTGATCATGGGACAGCTTGTGCAATTTTAGAAGATGGCTTTTACATGGCAAATTGAGATGTAGCCTCATTTTCTCTGTGTTTATCCTACTGTTCCCTCTCTGCTGCACAGTACACTACCCCCTTGGACTCATGAGTTGCTCATTGCTTTCCCACCCTTTGTCTCCAGTCTTGTTCATGGCAATTGTTTCCTAACCTTCACCAATTCAACTGTGACTTATTGTTGTGTTTTCCTTTCTTTCAATTCCCATTGGAAAAATTTTCAAGTCAGATCTCAGCACTACAGCTATAATGCCGAAACCTGATCCTTATCTCCTTCAAAGCATGGGTGGCATAGTCACTTCTACTGGAAACTGCAACAGTTGTGAAGTCAGCACAGCTGTTTGACACAGTTCCAGTGAAACTGAGCCAAATGCTGCCAGCACTGTCCTTCTGTCTCTAGCTTTCTAGTTCTGGTCTCTGTGTGCTGCATTCTTGGAGAATTTCTCATTGTAAGTCTTTTCCTGAGAAAATTATTCATGAGTCTTTTTAAGGAAAGTCATACACTCACTTCTGCCTTATCTAGCTACTACTTGGAAGACTTCCTTATGCCCTATAGATTGGATAAGCAAAAGCTAGGAAATTATAAATGAGATATGACTCCAGGAATCTTCTTTGGGTATCTGTTCCTAAGCACACTCAAACTGGATAATTGGTAAAGGGTAAAATCTTACTGGTTAAGAGAATTAGCAACAGATCCTAGTCCCCATTTCATAATAGGCTTAGAGCTCTCTGAAAATATAGTTTAAAGATAGGCAATCATATAAGGAGCACCCCTGGAAGAATAAACCTTACTATTTAGTGAAAGAAAGATGGACTAAAATAAACTTTTTCTACTTTATAATATGGATGATGAAATAATATTGTAAAGGGAATATTTATTAGTATTTTCTATTCATAAAAAGATCATTTCAGATATTTTCTGATTGTCTGAGGAGCTTTAAAACTGCAAATACTGGCAGCCTGAAAGTAGACTGTCCTATAATAAATGTGTTTGCTTTGACAGAGACATTCTTGAGTGTCTTTGAATTAGAGTTATAGGGCTATTAATAAAAATAAAATCAGTTTCATTTGTGTTTTCTAATTGTGACTAACCTTGTAACCCTACACATGTAATAAAAAATCAAACACATGTCTATAGACAAAAGGATATAATCTGTACTTCTTGGATAATCATTAGTCTGTCTTTGTTCTGTGAAACCTATATAACAGTTGACTTGATTGCTAGTCAGTCAGAGCTGTAAGATTCCCCTGACCACCACACATGACTCACTCCTCCCTTACTAACTCCTTATCTCCTCCTGAGGGCCATCCTGTCAACAGGCTGAATAAAGGCCCCAGCACCTGAGAAACTCCAAGACCTCTTGCCTACTGAACTCTGTGCCTGGCTTCCCTTTGTTCTTGGCTCTCTCAGTCTTACAAAGCATTTCTTAACTAACTACAAAGATTATTTTTTAGTCTTAATCTTGGTAACATCCTCCATTTGAAGCAGGCATTCAGCAAGCATGGACTGGAATTTTAGTATGAGTCTTGGATTCCATGTGTGAACTGAGGTACAACTTAATGATTGACTATAAGCCAGGAGCAGGGTGCTAATGTTAAGAGATAAATTCCTTGGGAGTCAATTGATATCTTTTATGTTCAACAATTTAAAAATGCCAGACATTTGGGAGGAATTGAGAAGAGGCCACTTGCACATAAGGACCACAGAGAAGAGAAAACTTGAAGATGTAGCAACTTTACAAACGCATTACAGTTCCAGAGATTTTGTGATATCTGAGTCACGAGACACACACACACCTACAAGGCTAAGTTCTAAGATGTCCATTGTTTCTACTGTGTAGACTATAGAGGAGTAATGGTAATGAAGAAAGATACTACACCTCACACTATCTCTGATAGATTTTTTTCTTCCATGTATCAATATAATAATGTGTGACCACCAAGACTGTTAACAGAAATAACAGGTATGGACTGTGTTGGAATTTATTTCTATCACTTTTCTGGTGTTCTACTTATGTAGGCTTCACTGCAACAATTTGAAGCTGCAACTTAGTACTCACAGCAGAGCAATGGATTTCCTTTCATACTTTAACTTCAAGAAGCGAAGCCTGGTCACTGCACAGAGTTGCTGCCACCAGAGAGCCATGCCCCCCTTTGTCTTACTCATCTCATTAAGCAAAGAGACAAGGTCTTCCACATCAGCAAGTCTCCCTGGGCCCCTTTCCCCTCCAGCTTGTATGTCTTCTGTCACACCAATATCTAGAAAGCAAAAGCCAGCAATCTATATTGTGTGGTTAAATTAATCTCTGAAAGCATTTTTTTTTGATCCAGACATTTTTTTCAAAGTTGTCTTAAAGGAAAACAAAATTTCCAAGATAAAAACAAAAATTGGTCAATATAACCTTGACAGTTCCAATATTTCAAAAGACATTTCTCAAAAGTAATACTATCGGAAAGAACTTCACAGAGAATTTTCCTCATCAGTTCGTATCACAGCAGAGCTGACATACAAGAATTAAACCAACATTTTCCCATTTATATTAAGTTTTAACAGCAGAAAGAAGTGTAATTTGCTTAAGGAGAATCTCTTGAGGTGATTCTTGCAAAGGGCACAAAACAGCGTTTTGGTAACAAAATGTTCTAAATTGTGCTTTAAATACTTGCTTCAGTACAACCAACGATGAAGTCAACAGAACAAAAGCAGCAGATGGACAGTTTGCAGTATATAAATTATGATTCGATATGCAATAATAACAGTGTTCTATGAAATCAACAATTTCTTTAACAAACCATGATAGTAGTAAGAGAACCTAAAGGGTCTTTGGGGGGTTGTTTTTGTTGTTACAAGGTCAGTTTATACAAGTTAAGTGCATTTGTGTGTATTGAAATATTAGAAATATATTTTAATGTCTGTATGCGATTTTTTGAGAAAGGGCCTTGCTTCATAATACAGGTTGGTCTTGAACTCAGGGTGCTCCTATTTCAGTCTCCCAGGAGCTAAGGTTACAGGTGTGAACCACCACACCCAGCTAAAGATGCTCTGTGAACAAACATATTGACTCCCCAGCAAGACACTCTTTGACTAAATGACTGGCGCTAGAGTGTGCCGAAGAAGAGAACAGAAAGTGGAAATGAGTGACTACCAACAGGCCATCAACACTGAAGGTAAGACCGGGTGACACCCATGGTTCTGACAAGGAGACAGATATGTTCCTGCCACAGGCTTCTCTTCCTGCTTGCCCACAAGAGATTCAGCAACCAGAGAGATTGAGTGTTGGAGTGATCATCTCAAGGACTCATCAAGGAAAATAGCACTGAATGTACTTAATTTCTGGAGGAACTCAAAACCATGTTGAACCTGGCAGATGTGAAAAGACTGAGAGGAAACAGCTCTGAGTGCTGAGAGAGTTCCAACAGGAGAACCAGCCTCTTTGCTCTGCTGTATTGTTTCCAAGGAAGCCTAGGATGGATTTTAGTTAAGAAAATCAAAGGAAAATTATCTTTAAAAATTCTTTCCCTCTAACTTTATTCATTATTGACTTTACTTTTTAATGTCTTAAGTGTCCTTTATTAGAAATTCATTTATATTGAAGCTGGAGAAATGGCTTAATAGTTATATGGGAATGCTATTCTTATAGAGGTTCTAATTTTGTTTTCCATTATCCATGTTGGTGGCTCAGAACTGCCCAAAACTCCAGCTCTAGAGGATCTAATGCCTCTGGCTTCTGTGGACGGACACACACACACACACACACACACACACACACACACACACACAGTAGAAAATAAAACAAATATCTTTGAAATAAATTTATTGCTATATATCATGTAATATATTTCCAGAGTTTAAATGTATCATTTTAAAAAATAAACATTTCATAGAAAGCATTTTAAGAGACACAATACAGAAAATGTAGTACACACAAACACTTGAAAAATTCTTGGCTGGGATCTCATAGAGCATCCCAGGTGAGGCACATCTATGGCAGAGATGGCAACTGATCACAGTAGATCTCCTCATTTATACAGATAGAAGAAGAAAAAGAAGAAGAAGGAGGAGGAGGAAGAGGAGGAGGAGGAGGAGGAAGAGAAGGAGGAGGAGGAACAGGAGAAGGAGAAAGAGAAGGAGAAGAAGAAGAGGAAGGAAGAGGAGGAGGAGAAGGAGGAGGAGGAGGAGGAGGAGAAGGAAGAGGAGGAGGAGGAAGATTGGTAGGAGAAGGGGAAGAAGAGGAAGAAGAAGAAGAGGAGTAGGGGGAAGGAGGAGGAGAATAACAACAACAACAAGCATCATGACTATTGAAATGGATATAGCATGATGGATTCTGTCCTTTTACCTACCTGACTGGTCAATCACTGATTTTCCTTCCAGTTTCAGAAATACCTCAGTCAGAGTTGTTATAGAAACACCGTAGTTTTCAATTCCCAAGTCTGGACATCTTTCAAGATCCCTATAAAGATCTAATGAACACTTTTTAAAAATGTGGTCATCAGGAAAATGCAAACTAAAAAAAACTGTGCCATCCCTCCTCATTTTAGTCAGAAAGGAGATCATAAAAGTAATAAAAATTTTAAAAAACAACAACAGACAACAAAAGATGCTGGCAAAGATCTGAGGGAAGTTGCACTCCTATCCACTGCTGATGAGTTGGTTTAGCAATTATGGGAATGTGAAGATTTCTCAAAAACCTAACAAACAAAGAAAATAGAACTACCATATGACTGCTCCTGGGCATATACACTCAGAGGCCACTATATCCCATTACAGAGATAGCTATACATTTATGTTCACTGCCCTGTGTTCAAAATAGATAGAAAAAAAAATGGAATAAACCTAGATTTATATCAACAGATGAATTGATAAAGAAAATGTACCTGTATAGAATAAAATAATTTTTATTCACCCACCACAAAAAATTAAATTATGAAGATTTCGGGAAGATGGATGAAGGTAGGAACATAGAGATGGCTTAGTACAGGCATTTGGAACAAAACAAGGTAACCTTATTTACTTCTGGAAACACATTTGGTTGAAGGGAAGCATCTTCCTACAAATGATTGGATTTCCTCACTTAGTAAGTTATCTGCCTATGATGGTGTGAATAACAATGTCCCCCAGAGTTTCATATATTTGAATTCTTAGTCATGAATTTAAAACTGTTTTGGAAGGATTAGGAAATGTGTTCTTGTTGGAACAAATATGTATTTGTTGGAGGAAACAAAGTGTATCCTTGGTGATGGACATTGATGGTTCAAAAGCCAACATCAGGCTCAGGCTCTTTCTTTTCCTCCTGCCTTCAGATCAGGGTGTAAAGCTCTCAGGTACTAATCCAGCATCATGCCAGCCTGCTACCATGCTCCTCACATTGATGGTCGTGAATTAGCCCTTTGAAACACTAAACAATTCTCCAGTTGAACACTTTCATTTATAAAATGTGCCATGGTCATGGTGTCTCCTTATACAATAGTACTGTAATTAAGTCACCACTTTCATTAAGTGTGTATATATAGGAATTCTTTTTGGTCTTGTTCACTTAACATGATCTCTCTTAGTCCCTAGTGATCTGAGACAAATGTGCTGAAAACCAAACATGATTATTCTGTATTATACAATGGTCTGAAAAACAAGGGTGTTTTCTAAAGTCATGGCCAAAACCAAATCAAACAAAAAAACAAACAAAATCAAGCAAAAAACAAAACAAACAAACAAACAAACAAAACACATAGTAGGACTGTTAGTGAATGGGGAAAGTCAAGTTTCAAATTACTATGTTCGTTACAGATTTACAAGCCCTAGCATTTTGCCATAACACATCAAAGATATTAAAACCTACGTAAAGCAAACAAGAACCTTAAAAGTCATTGAGCATTATGATACAATGTTTGCAGCATTTAATTATTTCTAAATGTTTATCAAAGAGTCCATGTGTCACACTAACACTAACTATGCAATAATTTTTACCTCTGCTGGATGTCAGCTTTGACCCAGCTGCTTATACACTCACTGATAGATTTCTTCAAGGTTTTGTTGAACTCTCAATTTTTTTATTGTTGCTTATTTGATTTGTTCTCTTGTATTTTTCTTACCCAAGGTGTATTGTCCTTTATTCACTGTTGTCTTGTAAGATACATACAACTCAGTTTTCAAAATGAAAGCAACCATAAGAGTCCATTTAGGACATTGCTGTTGTGAACCTGCATTTAGCAACACCATTGTGAGGCACTCTGGAAACATGAAAAGATTCTAGTATTTGAAACAAAGACCACAGGATTTAACACATATTCATTTCTGACGGAATAGGGTCAGAGGCAGAATTCATCTTTAAAACAGTGACGATTGCGAATTACCTTCATCCTCTGCTCCCGTTTCCTGTCTCTCAGGTGTGACAGTCATTGTATCAAGCTTTCATTATTACTGTGAGGATTCTGAGTGATGCTCCATCTCAAACTCTTAGTACTCTACTTCATGCATAGCGATCTGAAGCTACAGGTTACTTATTATTATTGTAGATTTCATGTTAGAGCTCATGGCTAATGAGTTACCTGGAAACTTGTTCGTTCTCTCCAGGGGTAATATGTAATTGAGTTGTCCTTCACTTTCTGCTGACAACTTGGAATCAGGGATGTGCTGCTTGACAAGAGTTGTTATTCTTTCACTCACACACCCTTCACTCAGCTGCAAGCTGTTGGCCAAAAATTGAGATAGGTTGTCTGAAAATAGTCTCTGCCATCCAAAAATAACCAGGGAAGAGCATTTCTAAATTGGATGCAAAAAAAAAATGTCATGGAAACTTGAAATAAAGAGATAAATCCATCAATGTGAATATGCTACGTACAAACTAGGATTTTGGTTAAAAGATGGTATTACTATTCTAGAAGAATAATAACAATAACATTAAATACAGTCTTGTCAAGTTTGAAAAACTGTAGGACTTTATAATAATCAAATAGTGGAGACTTTGACTACATCTATGCTTGGTTTTCTAATATTTTCTCTATATTATGCCGGGAGTCTTCTATTCCACTCTTCCCCACACTTTGATCCTTTAAGTCTTCCTACATGCACACAGGTGTGCACATGTGTATGTATGTATACACACACACACATACACACATGCACACACTTATACAATTTAATTTTCTTTTAAAATATATTTTTAATTCTTTGAAAATTTCAGACACATATACCATTCTGAATATATTCACCCCTGTTCATTCCTCTTAATTCCTCCCCATCCCTGTGTCTCCCTCCTTTCTTGCAAGGACTCCAGCCAGCACTGCCTTTTTCTCCAGCCCAGTTCTCATCTACCCCCAGATTCCCCTAGAAAGCCTACCTTAAGTGATATCCAATCCCCCATTTCTTCTTCAGAAACAAGGAAGAGCCTGCACACTTCAGCTTCCCCTTGGAGATGAACACTTTCCTATCTGAGGAGGAAGAGGCAGTGATGGGAGATACCTTTCACTTTAAAGAAATGTAAGGTATAATGAATGCACAGGAGTTTATAAGTTTATACAACTTTAAAAGTAGGATGCAATTATGACTAAAAAAAACCCAATATACTCTTTCATGATTATGTAGATTATTCATGTGTCAGACAACTCAACAACAATGAATTATATGATCATTTTTGATGCAGATAAGCATTAACATGCATTTTAGCTGGCTGTGCACAGATCTTTCAAGTTGAATTATTCAATTATGCCATTCAACTTAATGACATTTATTTTGAAGTTAGTGACCTTCCTAAGAAGGACATTGTATCGCCATGATGCTATTAACATGAAGAGATAAAGACACCTCAAACTTTTGTCAGAATGAGCTTCTGATCTTGGGCCATAGTATCTACGCAGCACAAAAGAAACAGCAAAGAAAATAGTTTAACATTTTCAGACCTAACTCCTCATCATGATGCTTAAGGAAGCCAGCAATTACCAGCCAGGATGTCAGCCTCATCCATGAACTGTGTGCTGAAGAGGACCACACGGTCTGCTTTGCGCTCCTTCAGGAGATTCCACACCCTGTGCCTTGAAAAGGGATCCAGCCCAGCAGTGGGCTCATCCAGTAGGAAAATCTAGAGGAGGAGTCAAAGGCAATAATCATCACTAACTACAGAAGCAGGGAACACAGAGGCTAGGTATGTACTTTGTTTACTGCTCCACTGTATGGTCCCCTCTGCTGTGTGATCTCCATCATGGTGACCTTTCTGGATGAGGAGGTTATTTGATTCCAGATTATCACTGAATCTGGTCTGACTTACCTGAGGGTCTCCTAAAATGGCGATTCCAAATGTCAGCTTTCTCTTCTGTCCACCACTTAGGTTTTGAACAAGAATATCCTGAATATTTTTCATCTCCAATTCCAGCAAAACTCTTTGTACCTGTACACATACAAAAGAACATTCAAGCCATAACTAAACTGTCTTTATGTAGCACACAATAAAGAATAATAAGCAGTGTTATTTATTTGGGTATCACATGACTTCATGCCTACTTGACTATGACTTGGGGGAAATGATTTACCTCTTTATAATTCAATCTCAATTGAACATGAAAATATTCCATTACTTACATAAGATTTGTTAAGATCAAGGGAATAAATTTAATGATCTTGGAGAATATCACAGGTTACACACGCTTGTTATTCCCACATTTTTTGCAGGCATCCTAAATATATCCATATGCAGGTGACTTAATGCAACCAAAATTGAAGTAAAACAAGTTAAGCATATTTAATAAACATTTAAACTTTTATGTTAGTTTAACACATCATGTACCTCATTATCCACTTCGTGTGCTTGAATTCCTTTTATTTTAGCAAAGAGCCTAAGATTTTCTCTTACAGTGAGGAAGTCAAATTGCACATTGCATTGTGGACAAACTCCAGTGAGCTTGCTGATACTTTCCAAGTCCGTCATTTCTGAGAGTCTCTTATTATGGATAGTGACCCAACCTATAAAAAGGGGTTTCAAAACACATTATTAAGACAACATGGCATTCTTAATGTAACTTTAAAAAACTTTACCAAATGAAGTTAGATATGTGATTTTATCTTACTCCTGTGATCTTTTCCAAGTTTCATTTTAGTATTTTGATCTCACCTGTATTCGAGAATATGAGATCAACCTCTCTGCCCCTAAGCTGTGCATGCAACATGATTTTTACAATGGAATTCATATGACCTTACAACAATCAGAAAACACAGAAAAGTTATTTTATATTGACATTGATTCTGTCTTTCAGCTCAAAGTCCTTAGAACTTCAGCCCTAGAAATTTCCCAGAAAGAGGGATGAGAGAAAGAGTAAGAGGGAGAGTAAGAAGAGAGATAAAAAAGAGAGGACAGAGAGGAGAGAGGGGAGAGGAGACAGGAGAGAGGGAGAGGAGAGGTTGGGGATAGGAGAATAGCCCAGTCTGAGACATGTAGGCAAAGCCATTATAGGCCATAAGATATTGTCAAAACAATGGAATTGAGAGACCTTTCCAGTCATATTTTAAAAGTTACTGGTTTTCAAGGTTATTTATCTATACAGAAAAGTGTGGTCATTGTCTATTGAAACTGTTAATTCTATAAAATTTGGAGTAATCTAAAATACTAAAGTTCTCTATATTTCAGTTAATATCCTATATGTTTTATAAAAGAGCAATATAGATTATATGTTAATAGCTGTGAGTTTAATTATCTCTGTGTATACTTAATGCTCAGATGTCTAACTAAAGCACAGACAATTCATTGGCCATATTAAAAGAAAGTCTCTGTCTCTTACCTTTGGTGGGAACACACAGCCCACTAAGGATATTTAATAGTGTTGATTTCCCAGCTCCACTGTGACCAAGGATTGCAGTAATCTGGCCTTTATATACATCCAATGTCAGATCTGGGAGGAAAAGAGCATGAAGGTATAAAATCACAAATGTAAGTTTAATTCAGGGCTCAAACAGTGCCTATGTATTTATTGTGTGACTGAAATTTATGAAAGTATACATTAATTTATTATTAAATCAAAATTAATATTCTATTTCCACTTTTCAAAAATTATACAGCATGGCAATGTTAGTTCAGTTGTGAGGGGAAAATGCAAGACAAGAGATTCAACATCCATTTAGAGTCTAGAACTGCTCACTGAGAGAAAAGTTAGCTGACTGAAATCCAATATTTTTCTATCTTTGTTACTTACCTTTCAAAGCTTCTGTGCACTTAGACTTTTGTATGTAGTCCTTAGTAAGATTTCTGATTCTGAGAAGGAGAGCAAGAGAAAATGGTTTACGGAGCAATGGCTTTCTTTATTATCTAACTCCAAGTCTCGCTGAAATCTTCAGGTGAATTTTGATTGCAAGGATATGAGAGAGCATGTGACCTTGACTTTGCTATGGTACTAACAGCAGTGGACAGCAATGGGACTTTGACCAGTGTTTTAAAATATGACCAGTGCCTAAGTTCACCTGGAGGAAAGGTTGCTTGCTGTGGTGTGGGCTGAGGCTTGGACACTGTTCAAGCCACTGTGAGCATTTGGCTGAAATGAACCATATGTAGTGATGGGTAAACTAGAAAATGATACAAACAATACAGCTACCATAGCAAGGCTGAGTAGGGAACATAACATTTTACAGATGTTAGAGAAAACATCTGTATGAAGTCTAGAATGTCTTCAGGTCAGGAAGGCAATATAGAATGGCAAGAAGAAGAAATGCCATGAACAATATCAGAGGTGCTAGCCATCACTGTACTCTAACCATTAGATAGCTGACAAATATAGTTATTTCTTGGAACTCTGCTTTCCTGTTCTGAAAGTAGGAATACTAACAGTATATACATTTGTTTTTGTTTGGTTTGATTTTATGATGGGAGTGTTGAGAAAGAGAAAGGTCATAGAGTGTGAGGTTAGTTAGGTAGAGAGGTAGGCAGGATCTGGGAAGTTTTGGGAGGGAAAAATGACAAAAACGCATAGCAAAAAAATAAAAATACTTTAATTAAAAAGAAAGAAAAAACAGAATTCTCACTTCCATAAAACACTAATGCCCTATTCTTTCACCTTATTTTTTGTTCAATGAGATACAAGAGAGGAAACAAGAGAGACTAGTAGACAAAAGCCATTGTCTTGATAGGACTTTCTTTGCCTGAGCTTTAAAAATTATCCAAAAGCAGGGCAAGAAGGAATCTATGGGGCAGGTTACAAGTTAGAAATTGCAAGTTATGATTAGAAATTGAAAATTGTCGACACTTTCACCTGCCCAGGCTCATGGGATATGGAAGAGCAGGAGACAGAAAAAACGTGAAAGATGGAAGATGGAGAGGGATGCTGTGAAGTTCTGTTCCTGCTCATAATGTGGCTGTCACTCATGAACTCACATAGCTGTGAGTATTACACGAGATCAAGAAAGTAAAAAACCACCATGGATAAAGGATGGATTCATGAGAGACACCTTTACTTGAGGAGCCATTGATAGTTGAAGGTTGCTAAGAGTCAGTCATGTTTCTTTGGAGGTGAGACCACTGAAAGGTTACCCATACTCCAGTGTGTAGCCTCACAACATACATGTGCAAATAGGCAGCGTTAATTGGACTCAATGGGATGCAATCCTTTTCAAATGAAGAGAATATGAAGTTGAGAGGAGGACATGCTAGAGGGAGCAGGCAGAGTTGGGGGTGCCTAGTGGGGTGCTGAACCATTAAAGTACACTGTGCACATTGATAAACTATTCAAAAAATAATAAAAACATTATTTAAAAGAAGAGTTGTATGGGTAGTGAGTGTGATGTAAGTGAATAAGTAAAAAATAAAATTAAAAAATAATGAGAGTTGCTAAGATAAATATCTTAAGGATGTCTTCCTTAATTAAACTAAATGCAACTAGCACCACATGAAACGGGTATTTTATTGTAACCTGGAATGCAGTTATGCATGACTGAAAGCCACGTTGATCTGATTCCCTCTTCTTCTCCAGGCTTTCACTTTCCTCTTCCCCCTTTTGCTTGGCCTTCTTTGTAGAAAAGGCAAATGCATAAAGAAAGGGATGTTCAGATGAGTGAGGAGACAATGGGTGACGTTCTAATAAGGTGAAGGAGTGAAGCCCTGAACTGAAGAAAAAGACAAGAAGAAAAAGAAGGGAGAAGAGAAGCAACAAGGGACAGGCAGAGAGGACTTTTGCTGAATTGTGGCTTCTGTTGTCTTAAGTCTGAAGTTTGGTACTAACAGCAGCTCGGTATAGTTTTTAAAAGAATAAAGGACAGAAAATTACAGGCCAGGAAGATGAGGTTAGGTCAGAGCCCTGTGAAGGACTCAGTAGAAGGTCTACATGGGTTAAACAAATGTCTGGAGCAATCATTGGGCTGATAATAGCATGAACCCACACCCAACCTTCATCCACACTACATCTGGTCTCACCTGATGGCTTCTTTCCCATGGAATTCTGCAGACACAGGTTCAAAACAGTCATCAGAAATCTCATAGTCTGTTTCATTCTCATGGGCTGGGAGATCCACTAGATTTTGTCCTGACCAGAATGAGGACTTCAGGAAAAACAAGGGTGGGTACCGACGTCCATATTCACCTGTTTAACCGGTGCAATTGCACATTGGATCAGCCACTGTTCTAAGCCCCTCTCTACCTCTAAACATGAATGCTTGCTCACACATGTGCATACACACACACACACACACACACGTACACACACATGCACACACACACACACACATTGACATATACACACATGACACAAATTCATTTCAAAATTTAGAAGGCTTAAAAACAATGAAAAGAAAAAAATCATAAAAGATGCTGAAATAAATGGACATAAAAGAAGCAAATAATGATAAGAATGAACAGACACTTCCTGTAGACACATTCTGGTGGGGACCACAGGAGCCAGAAGATGGTGATGGCCTACATTTAAATGAGATTATAATCACCAAGTTTATAACACTGAAATAAAAACAAACCTGCCAGCTTAGAGCTCTTCATTCAGCAAAAATATATTTTCTAAAAATGAAGTAAAAATAAAGGCTATGTATGTTTACATAAATATATACATATATGTGCGTACATATGTAACAATATAGAAGTGGGAAATATCAAAGCAATATAAAATATTTTAAGTAAATATGGAAAATACACATACATCAAATTACATTCATTTCTTTAATTGATCCTTGAGAAAAAATGAATTGTATCTCATAGCGCCCAAGATTTTAGCCACCATCCAAAATATAAAAAAATTAAATCCATATTTAATTTGCTTAACTGAAAGAGAAGCCATTTGCTTAAGATGCCTCTATCATAAAGAGTCAGAGGATATAATAGATTTTTGTCAACTAAAACACTTAGTGGGAATTCAAAGAGTAAGAAACCTTTAGGGATTAAAAAATAAAGTTACAGCTTTCTATAACAAGAACAATGAAAGATTAGTAGTTTTGTGTCACCTGAAATAAGAGGATACTGGAAAAGAAGACTACAATTTGACCCCCCAAAAAGGATATTTTTCAGTTTAACAATAAAGGCAAACACTTCAAATATTAAGGTACAAAAAAAAATTCTAAACATTTCTTTCACAAAATTGTCTAAGCTAGGTCAAAATTATTTAGAATGTGTGTTTCCTTCACTAGAGCATTTTGTTTAATCATTACATGAAATAAAACACATAAATATATTCTTAATATATAATCATAATTATACGATATAGTTATATCATATAATTACATATATGACAAAATAATAATGAATATATAATTGCTTATATATTTATACATAATTTTAATATGTAACACTATACCTACCTATACATGAATGTAACCTAGAGTATATGTATATATATATATGTGTGTCTGTGTGTGTGTGTGTGTATGTGTGTGTATGTATGTATTCAAACTATTCATCTATGTTATACACATGAACAAGGTTGATAAATTCAGTAAAATATTATTCAGTAAACTTTGGAAAAGTTAACAGAGACAATTACTATGCATCCACGATTCTCTCAAAACCAGAGGAACTATTAACTAAAGAAACAAATCCCTCTGTTTGTGCTTCTTGTTAATTCACCTTTTCTTCATGTGTTCACTCATGGGTCCTCTGGGATGGAGCACTGGGTATGGGTGCTTGAATAGAAAATGCACTTGAGAAGAACTGTGATCTCGAGCACAGAAGGTATGACAGAGAGCAAAGAAAGGATGCTTTCAAGGTTATTAACAGAGTCCTAGGCTATACCAAGCCCTCTCAGGATGTTGAGCTGTATTAGCCAACATGACCAAAATCATAGACTTTGAGAAGCTTATATGGATTAATAAATTGAAAGGAAATAAAATTATAAATGTCCTTCCTATGTGATTATACATTGTAGAATGGCTGCATATTATGATCACCTTGAATGACTTTGAAAAAATAGACACCCTGGAGCTGCTCCCAGCAGGGACAATAATTGGTAAGGATCTCTTGGCATGGGCAGGGTTTGGTCTTGCTTCATATCCGCTATAATGGCATGGGTGAACTAAACTGTTATTAAATGAAGGAAATTAATCGCATTAGGAAAACTGACATCTTATCTGATGTACGTGGAAATAAAGAGTTGAATTCGTAAATGCAAAGTAGAATGGCAATCATGGGGACTGAGATAGCTGAGAGAGGCTTAGGAGATTTTCACCAAACCCCATAGAATTTCAGTAAAAAGGGAAGTAGTGAATTGAATGTATCTTAAAACAAGGTGTTAGAGTTAGTAACAGTGCTTTGTACTCTTGAAAATCTAAAAAAGTAGGATACTACAAATACAAATGGAGGTAATACCCATATATTGACTAGTTCAACTGAGTACATAACAACGTAGCCATGTTCCAAAATATATAATGTGTTACATAGCATAGATGAGGTATATTTCTGCTTATTCATCAGTTAAATAATAAAACTCATTACGTGATCCAGATAAGCACAAAGAGTTTAGAACTACAGATCTGTAAGCAACTACCAGCATTAAGGAACTAAAGGCCCTTAAGGGTAGGAAGGAAAAGGAGACAGATAAAGCAGAATTAACAACATATACGCTCATCTAAAAGGCTGCAATTCCACATATACAAAGTTCAGATTTCAATTTTGAGCTGGTAAGTTGCAAGGGAGAAGAAAGATCCAGTCCTCCCTGAGTGACTATGCTCATTGTCTATCCTGTAAATGGGCCTATTCTTGAGACATGGGTGATGTGCTTGAAGGATTATTTTAAAATCTCACTATGTAAAACATATAATTAATGAAAAAGAAATGAGATTACAAGCATGCAATTAAGTCTTATCATGGAACAACTTACTTGGTAAAACCTTTTCAAAGTAGAATGTCAACATCAGGTAGAAGACACCATCAAAGAGCAGCATGAAGATTGTGCCCATGACCTCATTTGGGTTTCCCATGGTGTCTGCATTTGAATTCACATCATAATCTAAGTGTAAGAGCTAGAAATTCAAAGCAACCCAGTAAGTTAAAGGCACATGATCGCTTTTTTAAAAAATCAGTTTAGCCATTCTTGGATTGTAACTATTACATTCTGCACATCCCTGAAAGACAAGTCTAATTGCCTGGCTGCCTAGATTATAGATGTTGCCTGGAAAACAAACTTATATAAAACTACAATGCACTTAAGTAATCACGTTTAGTACAGTGCATGTGTGTTCTAAAGGACATACACATTAGTTGGCAAAAGAACTTAATAAAGGAATGGCAGTCAGGTAAGACCTTGGTGAATTGGAAATGGAGGCAAGAAAAGGTGCTCTGGGAGATGTTGCATGGCAGCCATAAACTAACGATAAATCACTTGATGTTTAACCAAAAAGTGTAGGAAAATGGACTGATGGAGAGTTCCCTCAGTGGTTAAGAGAACTTGCTGCTCTTGCAGAGGATTCATGTTTTGTATCTAGCTTCCACACTATAACTTCAGCTCCAGGGTATAAATACCCTCTTTTGGCTTCTGAAGGTGCCTGTACACAGGGAACCATGTATATGTGAATGTGCATATGCATGCGTGTGCACGCGCATGCACACAAGCACACACACAACAATAACTTTTTAATAAAAAACCTTGACATCCATAATCATCACATTATGATGGAGATTAAATAATTGAACTTATTCCATAGATGAGAGAAAGAGTCTGTCTGATCAGTTTGAAAGCTAAGTAGAGTAGGAGAAGAAAAAATACTTGAGGATCAAAAAGGGATTTCCTAGTCAATGGTTGAGCATCCAAATTATTCATTTTCATCTTATTTTGCTCTATGTTACTGCTTCAGAACTAAATCACATTATACTCTTAAAATTAAATAAGATGGTTAACTGGGATATATCAGTTTAAGTTCAATTCGTAACAAACTTTGGGATGTGACAAAACATTGAAGACTCTATTTTGAATATATACTAAATATATATTCAATATATATACTGAATATATATTCAATATATATACTGAAATATATGTACAATATATAAGCTGAGTATATATATACATATATATATATGTATGTATGTATGTATGTATGTATGTACTGAACTACGACTCTATTCACCTTCTTGCTCACAAGAGAATGTATTTTCTAGGAGAAGGTGACTGTTCAATCTTTGAAACTTCACAAGTGTGTTCCGTTTAACTGTAGTGCTTAAAAGGCTTCCTATAGAAATGACTCTAAGACAACTAACTCCAAGGAGGATAATATATCAGAAATATAATTAGTAAGCTAACTAGCCTCCCACTCACCTGGGCCATTCCAAGCATAAAGGCAAAGGGGCTGAGCAAACTTAGAAGCCATTCCACGGATACAGGGAGGTATCTGTACAATGCTGTGAATCCAAGACTTCCACAGGAAATAGTGAGAAAGAACACCATCAAGTCAGTGAGGAAAGACTTCTTTAGTAAGACACTCATCAAGAAAGACAAAGATATCTAAAATAAGAAAAGACCTGGTTGATTTACGTTTATCTAAGAATCATCAATATAACAAAACAATGATTTCCTGCATAAAACTACAGATTTACTCTATTGATTTTACAGAAAGTTAGAAATACGCAGAACTATAGATAAAAGGATTGTCACTACCGATTGTCTCATGCAAATACAAGACAGGTATAGACAGAAATCGCCTGATTGGTACCACTTTGTTTCTCAGACTGAAAACCAAATAAGGTTTGTATTCACCAACTCACCAGAGATAAGCCATAGAAGAAAAAGAGAATGAAGATCACCATAAATCCAGTCGAAAAGACAAATTGGACCATTTTTACAATATATGTCAAGAGAAGGGTCACAATGAAGACAATGACACCATAGAGCAAACCCCAGGACAGCCTGATGCAAAAACAAAATTCTATTAGTATTCATGGCTAGAAAAGAAGTCCTATTCTGGATACTCAAGTGACCATTCTTTCAGTCACACACTCACCCTCCTGCCAAATTTCACAGGATCTTCTGGAATATATAAACTAAATGAAGCGATTTGTGATTATAAATAATCTTACAGTTAGAATTAATACAAGGATTCAAGACGAATCTTATGCACATTGACGGTCTTTTCCATTGAGTATGGACGCATTGTGTCTTGCTGAGTTACAGTTACTGAGAAGTAAGTTAGGGTCTCTTTGTCCTTGCAAAGGTTCTCTGGTCCAACATATTCTTCCCTCTTTCTGTGCTTCTAAAAAAGTTTCTCTTTCTCCTCACAGGGACATCAAATACTCTATATTCTTTAACATCAGCCATGTTTTACTAACGATAGGATGATTTTCAGGTTCATATTATTATTACTAAACATGTTCTTGTTTTCTTTCGCCTATATTCCTTTTCTTCATTAACACTATCTGACAAGTTATAGTCTTAAATTCCTTGTGGTCGTAACTCTATATGTCTTAACAATGTTGATAAAGGGATATAGAGAGCTAGCTTGGTAAGAAAGTGCTTGGCATGCAAGCAGGAAAACTGGAGTTTCATTCCCAGAACCTACAAAAATAATCAAACCAAACAAACAAACAAAAACTGCACAGTGGTAAATGCTTGTAATCCCTGAAGTAGGGAAAGGGAGACAGATAGATTCCCTGGGCCAGTAGATGACAAGGTATTCCGAGTTAGTCAGTGAAATATAATCCTTAAATTTCAGGCCAAAGAAAGACTCTGAATAAATTAGATGACTAGTACACTAGAGTTGATTTCTGGCCACCACATATGCACACATGTGTGCACATACAAGAACACACACATACTACTAATACATAAAGTTTAATGACCAGTAAATAATCTTGTATGAATATATTATTGTAGTGATAACTGCAAGTGACAGTAACAGGTTGTATTTTTGTAGACAGATAACTCTTACAGCATTTCCTACTTTCTCTACAGTATCATTTACTGACCCACCTCACAAACATCCTACCAAAGAAGAGCTGACTCATTCGTTTCCACTGATCTCACAGATGAATGGATATTAACTTGTAAGAGCTTGAGAATAAAACAAATGTTTCCTGCTTCTAATTACACATGCAATTCCTACGAATGCAATGTAAATTAGCTTTGTCAAGTAAAAATGTAAATCTTAAGTTATAGCTTCCTCTCAAGAACATTCCACTTTCCTAACCAGTCTCACAAAAGATTATATAGATCCCAACTTGAAAACAAGTGATCTTACAGAGATTAAGATGGGCAATGATTTCCAGGAGTTCAGCGAGGGACTAAGGTTGAATAAATGGACAGTGAACAGTTTTGGGATAGTAAAACTGCAGTCCACGCTACTGAGACTGTAGATGTAAGGCAGTATGCATTTGTTGAGAATCATTTCACTGTTCAACACACAGTGAGTCCTAGTTTAAATATGCTCTTTAGTTACTAATAGCTATACTAGTTTATTAATTATGATAAATATACAAACTTCATATTTGTAGGATTTGAGTGAGCCATCTCTACTTTCTGCTCAAGAAATAAAGATGATTAAAAAACAACAACAACAAAAAAACCCCTCTGGATTAAATAATGCTTTTACCATGGCATGATTCTTACATATTCCATGACCAAGCAAGACCTGAAGAGTATCATATATATATATACACTGATATCATCTAGCATTTGTGGGCACCAGACACACATGTAACATGAAGACATGCATGCAGGCAAAACACCCATACACATAAAATAAGAAAATGGATTTTTTTAAAAATGACCATAGTTATTTGTGCCAACCTTCGTGCAAAGATGGTATTTTGGATATTATCCCCCACTTCTGCAGAGACAGAAAGTGAGGCTCATGATATATGCCAGTATCCTGTGATAACACAACTAGCAAGGGGCAAATGCGGCATAAGTAGGTGCATATTTTATTTTTTTGCTCTTGTGTTTTTCTGGGATAAAGCTACAGCTTGGGGAGCATAGCATTTAATATATTCAGCTGTGCAGTAAATTTTTCCACAATGCTTTTTAGCATAATATCCCATTTAAGTGATCAAATAAAGTGTTTGTTTATTCTTCGAACAGCAACAAAAACTACTGCAGTGGTTCTCAACCTGTGGGTCATGACCCTTTTGGTAAAAACCCCATCTCCAAAAATATTTACATTATGATTCATAACAATGGTAACAAAGTAAACTATGAAGTAGCAATGAAAATAGTTTTATGGTTGGAAGGTCACCACAACATGAAGGCTCACAGCATTAGAGAGGATGTGAGCCACTTTTCTAAAGAAAGCATTTTATCCACTATTAGATTTCTCGCAAATCCAAAAAAAAATAGATATTGGCTATGCAATATCTGAAATATCACTCAATGGCAAATCTGTAGCTCATTGTTCATCTCTGAGTTCAGTGTGACCAAGTCCAGGTTTTTTTCTGTCAAGCATTACACCAGGGTGATCCCATGGAATTCAGAAAAACAAATGCTAAAATGTTCTAATAATGACAGAGGCTTTGTTTGAGACAGTGCCATATATCTGAAGTTGACCTTGAACCCAATACATGGTCATTGATGACCTTGAAATTCTACTTACTCTTCCTGTACCCTCCAAGGGCTGAGATTATTGAATGTGTGCCACCAGGCCCAGTTTTTAGAGTGTTAAGGATCAAACTCAAGTCTTAAGGCATGCCAGGCAAGTGCTTTGCCAGCTGAGCTACATTCCCACTTCCCAGTGGTGCTTTGTCCCCAGAAGATTACTTTTTCTGAGCCCCTAGACTCACTCACCAGAATGCTGAATCCCGAAGGCCCATCACTGTCATCAAGCCCTTCATCTTTTTCCTTTCTCTTGTAACACCAGCTGAGATATAGTAGGTAAGTGGGGAGAAACAAATGATACAGAACAAAAGGAAGTAGTCCGTCACTGTTCCCCCTTGCCCAACGAAAGGATCTATCTTGATGTATTTTGCAGTAAGTGACATCATCTCTTCCATCACTGAGTGATTTGTTGTGACCTAAACAAAGATAGCAGTGAAGAAAACATGAACAGCAGTATTGTACCTAGGTGAAGCATCCTGTTTCCTCTGAAGGCTTTTCTGGAATGGATGTTACCCTGAGTTTCTTCTCACTCATTCTGTAACTTGGTTATTTAGTTCTAGAGTCAAATCTCTCATCCTGGTCTGCCCATATTACCCCAAGTTTTATTAACTCCGTGTTTCTCATTGCCTGTTCATTTCTCAGTGGTCATCTTTTTCTATTACATAAGATAGATACACTTCCCACCTGATCATTCATAGATGTGATGATGGTTTGTATATGCTTCACCCAGGGAGGTGAACTGACTATTAGAAGGTGTGGCCTTGTTGGAGTAGGTGTAGACTTGTTGGAGTAGATGTGTCACTGTGGGTTTGGGCTTTAAGACCCTCATTCTAGCTGCCTGGAAGTCAGTATTCTGCTAGCAGCCTTCAGATTAAGATGTAGACCTCTCAGCTCCTCCTGAAACATGTCTGCCTAAATGTTGCCACGTTACCATCTTGATGATAATGGACTAAACTTCTGAACGTGTAAGCCAGATCCAATTAAATGTTGTTCTCATAAGAGTTGCCTAGGTCATGGTGTCTCTTCACAGCAGTAAAACCCTAAGACAATTGAAAAGGATCTCTTTAATAGGAATCCTTCTATCTAAGCTGAAAATTGTTTATGATTCCATAATGACACATTTTCTGTTCTAATAGTTTTGTGATTACACGTCGGGCTTCCTAAGAGGACATATTCCTAGAGAAAAAAAACTCTTATTCTGTCAATGTCATTGTTGTTCTACTATACCTGGTAATGCGGCAACATTGGCAAACCTTTTTGGAGAAATTTGGGTGTGTAAATAATAAATCATCATGAAAGAGCAAATGATAGTGAGAGGATGAAAGAACATAGCTGTCTGCTGACATGTTCACAAAACTGAGTAGAATAAATTTCTTTCAGACATTTGCACTCACTTCTATGATGGCAGCGTTGATGGCAGCTTGAAGAGCCACAAACCCATCTATCCAGAAGCTTGAAACATCACAAAATATCTTATCTCCATAGGAATGACAATGAGCTTTTGAGAACAAAGAAAAATATGAGGCTGGGATGTGACCCTAATTATTGCACACACTGAATTTTACAATATCCTCAGACACTGAAAATGCATTTATTACCTCGAAATCCACATAATATCAAATTTATAATTATTAATAATTATTGAAGTAAAGATAGCAAAGCCAAGAACCCTAGAAGGTATTCTTCTTTCTACATTTTCTAAGAGCCAGTACTTTATCATATTTTCTTCTGTTTCTCTATTTATAGTTTTGAGTTTTTCTCCATTTGTATTTGTTATTATTATTATTGATGTTATTATTGTTATTATCATTATTATTATTATAATTAAGCTCTGACACATATAACCATATACTCCCTGGAGAAGCATCATAGCAGTGAGTTGTACTCCCAATCTTTGAACTAGTGTTTTAAAATAATTTGAAGATTATCCAAACGTAGTAGCCTAGTCTAAAATGAGACAAAGACCCCACTCTAGTCAAATGTTTTTCTAGTGATATGAGATATAACAAATATTGATAGCAAATAGAATTCATAATAAGATAATAATTAGGTATATGTTTGAAGAAAAGTTACTTTGAAAAATAAAAACTCAAATTTATTCTTCCATTGAAATTTCAATTACAGTTCATTAAAGATAATCCAACATTAAATTAGGAGATTTGTTCTGTGCTATATTAACTTAAAAATATCTTAAATTGATGAAGGCACAGATAGAGTTAAAAATAGCATGATGGCAAGCAGAAGTACCATCTATACATGGCCCCATGCTCCTTAAGAAGTGAAGTTTAGAAGGCATAAATTCCCTGTTTCTTCTGTAATCTTTTTCTAACTATTAAATATTCCATCATCCAAGAACACTTTCCTAATCTTCATGTGTTTTAAAAAGATGTTTGCATTCCTAAACAATACTCCTCCTCCACTCTTACCATTGATGAAAGGAAAATTTTTTGCTACTCTTATTATGTTTTAGCTTTATTTTCATAGAGAGTCTTATTCTGTAACCTAAGCGGGCCTGAAACTAAGTAGGTAGCCCACATTGGCCCTGAACTTGCAACCATTCTCTTGTCTCAGGTCTAACCTATTATATCTGGCCATGAGTATAACTTTTCCAAAGTTCTAGCCTGATAATCCAGCCCCAACTAGTGCAAGCACAAAACGACGTGATTTATCTGCTACTAAAGCTCAATTTTACTGTTGGCAAAAGTTGCTAAACTCAGATGTTCAGGAAACCTGAACAGAACGCACTGGCAGCTGTGATTTTCTCTTTCATGCAGATTTAGTTAAGATAAATGTTGTGTGTGTGTGTGTGTGTGTGTGTGTGTGTGTGTGTGTCTTCATGCACATGTGGTATGTGTGTGTAATTTCTTGTTTGTCTAATTTTATTCACCTCTAGAAGTCAACTTTATGTTTGCTATGGTGAAGGTGGGAAGTATGAGTAAATGTGTGTGCACATATGTGTACACATGGGTGAAGGTCAGATGTTAACCCTGAGTGTTGTTTCTCAGGAGCCACCCACCTAGTCTTGTGAGATCAGAGTGTCTCACTAGGAATTGGGACTCACTAATTAGGCTAGCCTGGCTATCCACAGAACCACATCTCTCTGTTTCTCCAGCTCTGTGGTTGCAAGCATGCACCAGCACAGGTTCTAGGCATCAAACTATTCCCCCGCACCCATTTGCATAGCAAATACTTTACTGAGATATCTCCTCACCCACCCTGCCTTTGTTATTGAAGCTTATTGTTTTGTATTAACTCACATCTTGTTCAAGTTTGCTTTCTGTTGCTGTGATAAAACCCCATGACCAAAAGGAACTTTGGAATGAAAGGGCTTATTTTAGCTTAAAGCTTACAGTGCATCATTGAGGGAAGCCAAGGGAGGAGCATGTAGCAGAGACCATAGAGGAAGGTTGTTTACTGCTTGCTCCCCATTGCTCCTTCAGCTATATTTATTTTACAGTGTAGGCTCATTTCCCTGAGGATAGAACTACCCACAGTGCACTGGACCATCCTAGTTGATTAGCAATTAAGAAAAATGTGTTATAGATATGCCCACTGGCCAATGGTAGGAAAGAAATTCTTGAGTCAAAGTCCCCTTTTCCCAAGTTGTCCGATAAAAACAAAACTAGCTAGGATATATCCCTACATTCCTTATAACATTAGAGAAATGGAAAGCCATCAAATGCGGGAGCTGCAGAGATACCTGTGTGGTCCTGAAATTCTCTTATGACTGGGATCCTTCTTCCTTTCATGAACTTCAAATGGTAGGAGGAAGCATTGGTGAATATGACCCTTACTACATCATCATAACGTTCTGAAATGAGTTCTGTCATATTTTCTTCATTTGGAAAAGCCAATATTTTTCTTCCTGGCATTCCAAGAAAAAAAAATTACCACTATAAGTAAATTTATATGAACAATACTGATGAGATGCCGCTTTAAGTACTTTTCTGTTGCTGTGATTGAGACACCATGAGCAAAGTCAACTTAATGAAGAGAGAGCTAATTTTAGCCTATGGATCCAGAGTGAAGAGTCTACTGTGGCAGGATAGAGCCATTGCAGCAGGAGGAAGGAACTCATATCTTCAAATGCAAGCATAAAGCAGAAACAGTGGCCTACAAGTAGGGTAAGGCTTTATACACTTAAAGCCCACCCACAGTGACAGACTTCCTTCAGTAAGCCCATGGCTCCTAACCCTCCTCATATAGCACCACCAGGAATACACTGCTCAAATGTATGAGCTTGAGGGTCCATTTCTCTTTCAAACTATCATAGAACCCTAAAAAGAATTGTTCTTGTGCTGTCCTATTCCTCAGTTGGTTCTTGATCTTTCGGTAAATAAGCCATGGGCCCACTTGCTGGAGTGGAAGGAATAGGTGGGACTTCTGGGTCCCTGGAGGAAGAAGACAGTTGCAGGGGAAGAGTGGAGAGTTTCCCAAGGTTCTGATGGAGAAAAGTTGACCAGTCTTATGAGATCTCCAAATGGAGTGACCACACAAGCTGCTCCTACAGATAGGTGGTCAGAGATGTAACTGAGCTACTAACAATTGGGACAGGAAGGAGATGTGGAGCTAAGAATATTGATAAGGGCACGATTTTCCAGGTGGGAGATAAGAAGCACCCAGGAATTGTGTCAAAAGGCAAGTTGCAATTGAACAACTGTGTGTGCATATTTTATCTGTGGATTCAAGGGAGCTGGGGGGGAGGGCTTGTAGCACAGCCCATTCCTGGAGCTTAGGTAGGATAGCAAAGCTACACACAACAGAAAACTTATTCCATTCCATAGAAGATAAAATTTTTTATGGAAATAATCCCAAATTGTATAATGACCTTAGATAAATTACACTAAAAGTATTCAAAATATATTTACAATGTTGTGGATAAAATCAGAGGAACATATGTAATTAGATATTTTCTTTCATATACTCTAATAACAAATTCCCATGATACAAAATGACCAGCCAATCCAATTAGACTATTTACTACTGTAGAGGAAGAGAAGGGTTCAAAATTTAAAACACAAAACCGTACCTCGAGTGGATATGTAGCTTAATTAGACATTACTTTGTCCTTAGGAGAAGACATTACTCAGATTCATTTTCCCTAAAAATCCATTATGTTCACTCCACAGAGAACATCTGTGAAATGGAGAGTCAGGCTGAATATTGTGGAGGAAATAGAGATGTGGGTCTTGGGTGGCAGGTGAGATCAGGTTATGATCTTAAATCAGAAGCAGGTTCAGTATGGAGGGGTATGATACCCAGTGCACACATTCAGACTCAGGGTCTATATCAGTAAAATGGTTAATGTGCTTTCAGAGGAAACAGGTTTGGAATGTTTTTTATCCTTGTGGCCCATCAGTATAGTCTGAGAACAGTGGCCACACAGACTCCCCTCCCCATAGCTGGAAGTTTGCCAAGACAGACACTGTGGTGATGGTGGACTCTTCGATATTGAGTGTGCTTCTGAGGTCAGAATCCCAATAGAAGTCATGGTTACCCGAGCTAGAGCAAACCTAAGTATACAATATGACTAAGAAACGAAGGAAAGGTTTTATAGCTTTCCAGAGACTGGATCTAGTCAACAGGTCAATCATCTCAGAATAGTAGTGCCTTGATGGACCATGTGAATACTGCCAATGAATGACAAGGTCTTTCTGAGATACCATCATCACACTCAGACTCAACGGACATCATGGGGCCATCACCATAGCAGATATTCTTTGGTATATTTTTCCTTGCTTCATATTAATGGACACTGTAGGATTTTAATTTACATTTAAGAAAAAGGAAAAGAAAAAAATATGTTTTTCACTTACTGGCTTTAACTTGTCTTCCTTCTAGAAAACATTCTGAAGTTCAGATGCAAAAACTATACCTGCTCTTTTGGTTTGATGTGGTTTGGATGAGTTCTTGGGGTGGCTCAGAACCTGAGCTGAAGCTGATAGGAAAGATATACTGGATGTCTGTCTACTTGTGCCACTAACCTGGTCAAAATTAATTCTCAAGACACTACTGAACAAACTCAGAACGAGATAAATGGGTAATGAGTTGTCATTTTACTTAAAACCACATGCATTAACATTCACTTACAAATGAAAGATTCAAAATACTTTGCCTGCTATTTACCTGATCCTGTAAACAAGGTGAAAGGAGGCTCAAAGGCACTTTAGGGAATACTTGACGTACTATACAATAATACAGCAGAACCATTCCATCCTAAAAGCTGCTCCCAACCAACCACTCTTGCTGGTCTATTGTTATGAAAAGAGAAACTGCCATATCAAGGGTGGCCTTGGTTTAGGAAAAAGCCAATTTTTGTTGTGGTGATCAAGAGGCCAAGCTCTCTAGCGAGAGAAATGAGAGCAAAGCCAGGCATACCAGGAACCCTTCTGGAGGGCGTGGAAGTCTAGGGGTCGACCGTAGGTGGAGGCAGGGGAGCTGACAGTTGAGTCAGTCTCCTGCGGAGTCACTTCTGGATCCTCTGCAATTTTCAGCTGATGGTAATGAACTTCAACTGCCTTCTTGATGGCAGCATCAACCTGGTTCCGTGGAAGACAGGTCACGGGCGATGATCTCTGTCTTGCTCAATCTTGATGTCGTGCGCACATCCTCTCAATGAGGGTCCGTCCGGATGGGTCCGTGCCTCGAGCCCCACGTCTGGGTGCCACTTGGCCCGACCGGCGGGTCCTGGTTTTTCGTGGGGGCGAGGAGGACTGGAACCTGCTATTCTTCAGAAGATATGGTACACTGCTTGAGTTATGGTCTCCCTGCTATTCTTCAGATGATATGGTACACTGCTTTGAGTCTATCTGCAGTTGCCAAGCAGGATCTTGCAGTTGCCCAGCTTCAGGGGACCTTGTGCAGGTGGGAAAAGGTAGCTAACATTGGGGAGCCTTCCTTTATGACAATATTACACCCCAAACTGACAAATGGTTGATAACTTGAACATTTACAAGAGACTAGGATGGCTGTGAGTTAGCCCAATGACGGGATTATTGTAGGTCCACTTCCCAGGGGCCCACCCAATGCAGCCGAAAAGGAGTGCGTGGTGCTGGGAGTGGGTGCAGCCTACATGGCCTAAGACAGGGCTCTCACCCTCCTTTCACCCACATCAGAGTCCCTTGACGTTGCCCATCGTCGATAGCCTAAAGCCTTCGACCATCGATGTGACTTGTCTCACATCAGTGTTTTGGGGTTGTGAACTTGTCTAAGACCCCCCATAATTAGACATCCAAATTCAAAACTCACATAGTTGGGATTGAACATAAGAAGCCTTCTCTAACTAAACAGAGAAGGGGGAGATGCCAGAAGCCAGGACCCTCGCCCTTACCCTTACCCCCTACCTTTCCCCACCTGCACAATGTCCTCTGAAGCTTGGCAGCTGCAAGATCCTGCTTAGCAACTGCAGATGGACTCAAAGCAGAGTACCATGTCTTCTTAAGAATAGCAGGGAGACCATAACTCAAGCAGTGTACCATATCTTCTGAAGAACTGCAGGTAGATCATAATTCAAGGCAGTGTACCATATAGACCATGACATGTTTCAAGGCACAGGCCAAGAAGATTTTGTACTTTTCCACCACCTGGACCCTCTTACCCCCTCCCCTTGTAAAACACACTATAAAAAAGCATTTCATGTTCAAAAAAAAAAAAAGAAATTAAAAAAAAATGAAAAGAGAAACTGTGACCAAGTTCTTTTGATTATCATAATGCTCTTCCCATGTAAATAACCTAACATAGAAAGCAAAAATTCAAACAAAGAACTCATTTAAAAAGAACTTTTAAATCAAATACTGAAGCTGCATGTGGTGACACAAGGTTATCCCAGTACTTGGGAAGCTAATGCAGGATTATGAGATTCAGGCCAGCCTTGTCTACACAGTGATAACCTATCTCACAATGTATTTTCACGTGATAAAGAAATGTGTGTGTGTGTGTATGTGTGTGTGTGTGTGTGTGAAAGGACCAGTAATTGAGTTTTAAATCTTAAAAAAGGCAATGCCAATTATTCTTAGGCCTAGATGTGATCAAGGGAAATCATGCTGATGTGTTATACAATTAGGAAATTTTGATAATAATGATTTATCAAATGGGGCTGGAGAGATATCTCAGTGGTTACAGCACCAACTACTCTTGCAGAGGACACAGGTTCAGTTCCCAGCGCCCTCATGGCAGCTCACAATCATCTGTAACTTCAACTCAGAGGGTCTGATGATTTCTCCTGGCCTCCAAAGGTGTTGCAAGCATGTGATGCACAAACATACATGCAGACAAAATGCCATACATTAAATAAAAGTAAGTCTTTTTTCTTTTAAATAATCAATTAAGTGAGGTGCTGAAGAGATGGCTCAATGGTTAAGAGCATTTGTCCTACAAACATGAGGACCCAGTTCCAATTTCCATATAAAAGGACTAAATATGGTTCAGAAACTGGAAAACATAGACAGAGGGATTCAGAGAGCTGTCAGGCCAGTGATCCTAACTAAGCCTACACAATTATCTTCCAGTTCAGTGAGAGACTGTCTCAGGCAATAAGATGGGAATGGTAAAGGAAGACAGCTCACATCCTATTTGGGCCTCTGCTAGCTTCTACACCTGAATACTGATGTACATGGAGGACACACACATACACACACACACACACACACACACACACACACCAGACATTATCAAGTAAACTATACAATAACCAGTGCATACGTGTAACCAAATCAATTAAGAGAGGTTCCTTCTGGTTTAGCAGAAAACTCACCTGTCATGTAAGACACCAAGGAGACTGTATCCATTATCTTCTGAATTGTGGGGGTGACAGGTGTGTATGCAATTTTAAAGTTGGAGTCATTAAATGAATCTATGCGTCCCAGGTCCACATCAGGCAGTGATGAAAAATCATAAACTTCATGCAATTTCAGAAATAAAGTTAAACTAAGTAGTATAAGTGCTGTGTACAGGATTTCCTACAAAGCCAGATTAAAAAAAAACAGAGAAGTGTAATTTCTAATAAGTCAAACACAATCACTTCTGCCATATAGCTATGATATTTATTGATGTGTTTTCAAATTTCTTTGTCTCCTAGGATATATTTTTGGAAATATTCCATCTATAAAAATTAAGCATTCCCTATCATTCTCAAGACTATTTTTTATTAAAAGAAATTATCTTGCTATCTACCCTAAGCTGACTTTAAAGTTGTGATCCTTGTACCTCAGCCTCCAAAGGGTACTGATACTGTCACTACACCTAGCCTCCTCTAGGGAATTTTAGAAGTGAAATTGATGACTCTGGTGTGAGATGGATTGAATTTTAAAAGCAGTAGTAGGCTGTGGCTGGAGACAGACTCCCTCCAGCACCCCTCAGTTAGAATTTGCTGCAAGATCAGTAGGTAAGATAGTTCCATGACAGTGACAAGTTAATTATTACTGTTGTCTTGGTGTTGGTAGTTTAATAATAATTACTATTTTGGTCACATTTTAACTGCAGGATAGAAAACACAACAAAAAACCAGGGACCTCAGAATACTACACTGACTTGATAAATTTATAGGAATATCTCAAGGATACTGTGCTCTGCAAACAGCAAATCACTTTGAAAGGTTTAACTTTCCAAAATGTATATGTTGAGTGTGTATGAATGTGTATGTGTGTTTTGTGTGTGTGTGTGTGTGTGTGTGTGTATGTGCACCTGTGCATGTAACACATGTGCCTCAGGCACACACACATGCACATGAACTTGTATGCACAAGCACCACAGTCCACATGCAGAGGTCAGGGACAACCCATAGGAGTCAGCTCTCTCTTCCCATCATGTGAGCCTACAGTCAGATTTAGGTCTTCAGGCATGAATGTAAGGGCTTTTACCCTCTAAGTCACCTGACCAACTCTGATATCTTTTTCTTTCTTTTAATGCTTGGCTTTTAAAAAGATCACTGAATAGGTCCTTAGTATAATCTCACAATTTAGTTAGCAGATGCTACCTGGCTGCACTATCTGATACTACAATGGAAATTTTTTTCTTCACAATTATGACAAATTCACAGTCTCTATGTTCTTAAGAAACCAAATGCCTTTTAAAAGAGAAAGATCCAGGGACTGGAGAGATGGCTTTGCAGTTAAGAAGAGTAATTGCTCTCAGAGGTTCCAAGTTCAATGCCTGGCAAACACTTACTGGCTCACAGTCATCTATAATGGGATCTGATGCCCTCTATTGCCATGCAGGTGAACATGAGTGCAGGTAGAGCACTCATATATAACATAAATAAGTAACTCTTAAAGCAAAAGAGACAGAGAGACAGACACACAACCAAAAGTAAAGCCACTAACTCTACCATCAGTATGTGCCATTAGCAAGCACATTCTTTGTCTCTTTGACCTGCTACTATGTTAATCTTAGTGACCAAAACACTTTGAAATGGCTTTGTAAGGTTTTAAGGTGCTTATTGTATTCTCATTCTGGCCCCCTCCTATGTTACACTGCCCCTAGTGAATGGCCTCCTCCTTCTATGTGGAGGCATGATTTCCTTCCCAGGGAGGTCCTCAGGCCGTGCACAGAGGAAACATACTGCACCATCACACACAGGAAGCAGGGCAGATCCTGAGTCATACCAAAAATGTGTCTCTCTTCAGTCTCTTTTTCCTGAGAAGATTCTTGCACAATAAGGCCCACGTCTGTTGGCACACACTTATCTCTCTCTTAACCATCTTGGTCTGTTTAATAAGAAAAAAAGAGAAGAGTCAACAAATACTAGGATCTTAAGAGGAAATTTTCTGCAGATGTCAGAGCCTGGTTGCCCTTTATTCCAGAGGAAGAGTTTGGATTCTGGAATTCATAGTTTATCAACTGGGCATCTCTTCTATTTCTTACCCATCTCCTCTTCTCACTCCTTCAACAGTGTGTTTCCTTAAATGACATACATTATAAATACATGAACATTCTAATTTGTACAATACATAGCCATTCAAACACATGGGGCAGGGCATGAATCTAGGCTTGGATGATGTCCTTTATATATAACTTATAAATCAACATCTCTTGTACAATGTAGTGGGTATATTAATTCGATGTGTGTAGGCCACCATATTTCCCTTTTCCTGGGAGGAAAACTTAATCTGTTAAAACATTGAATTGCTGAAATAGTAAACATACCAGGATTTTGGCTCGGAAAAGTTTCCTTTCTCACATGATAAGGACAACAGTGTTATGAACAGTAGTGGTGCCCTGTGCAAATATTGGAGAATATGTCTACAAGAATTGAAAGTACTGAGTGAGGACCTTCAATCTTCTTAGTCCTTTTTCTTCTTGCAAGGATATTTTGTCCTGTCTTTATACTACCTGAAAGTAGACATGTTATTGTACATTTTTTGAACTGAGTATGATATTAATTTGTTTCAAAGATACCAAGGGAAAGCCACACTGTGTTTGAGTGGATACTTGAGGCAGTGATAAAATTAGCCTTGAGACTGAAATTCAAGTACTCTTCAGCTGGGTATAAAACTCCTAAGTTTTGACTTAAGTTTTTCAACTTCCTGTTATGAATCATGTCAGGGAAATCAAATTGAAATGGATTATAAAGGAAGTAGCTGTCATTGCAATGGGGTAGGTACACTATGTAAAAGTGTGTTTCATTGGGCGGGGAAGCTGGGAATGGGGATCAATGAAGCTCAGTGTTTTAAGATTTATATTCATAGCAAGGTAGAGGGTACACGCATCATGGAGGATGAGCTAGATGAGATACCATAACTTTCCGTATACTTTTCTCTGATAAGGGATGCTGATTATGGTAGGAACCATGCCTAATAATTTCATGCTAGACATCTGAAGAGGGTACTATTATCCATGGTATACCTGGTTCCCAGTCAATTAAGAAGTGAAGAATGTGAGAAGTGTCCATAGCAACGTTTAACATTTTTTTAGCATAACTCTACATATTGGATTTTCTATTTAGGTAGTGGTCTTCAGAGAGAAAATAAAACATTCTTCCCCTGAAAAATAGAATGGTAGTTTGTGCTGAGGACTTACTTGGGAGAATAAGACTCTTTGTAATGCTGATAACTGTCAGGAGCCATATTAGGACAAGATAATAACTAGCAGGTGATCATCCTGAAATGGTGTGCCATGGATTATTATATAATGTGTGTCAATTGAGGCCTTATTCAGCAATGCTGTAAGGGACGCATTTATGAAAGATTCCTGCTATTAATATGCTTTTCTATTACTATTAAACAAATATAACAATCACTAAGTAATGCCAGACCTTTTGAAGCAGATCTCTGCAGATGCACGAAGATATACTGTGTTGTAGTGATGCTGTGAAGACATATAGATGACTTCTTAAGTCATAATGATGATGCTATAAGAATTCCTAAAATTATATCAATGATTATCAAGCTCTTTTGTAGTGGGACTGCTATTAGGTCCCTTTGTGATAGTCAAAACTGCAATGAGAACTCTTCCCGTCTCGAAGTATCACCAGTTAATTGCTCGTAAATAGTAACTAGACTTTCTCCTACTCAGCACACATTCCAAGAGGTTGTAAAACAATTAACTAAAGGTCATTTAAATGGAATTAAGGATTTATTATAGGTGCTAGGGCAGAAGATAAAATATTAACTGGGTTTATCTATACAAAACTTCCCTAATAACTTAGTTATAGTTTTAAACCTTCAGTGAACCTGTGGATCTAGACAGGTGAAGGATGTTTAGCCAGATAATTACTAATAATGGATATGCATGTGAATATTTCCTGTTGTAAACTTCTGTTTCAATTTATGATTTGATTTTTGATGTGAACTTGCAATGAACTTTGTAACATGTGCTCACGTATAAGTACTGAGGAAAAAGAGATGAGAGGCAGATAGAATAGAGAGATAGAATAGAATTTTTTCCCTTTCCCCAGAGAGAGTAGAACTTTTCCCTTTCTCTGCTTAGGATCTTTCTTCTTTTCCCCTTAGATAGTTTTCATAGGAAACTTTTTCCACTTAGTAATAAACTCTATAATAACTTCTCTTAAGTGTCTTTTCTTCCTACAACCTCAGACTAGCAGGTGTAAGTTAAGGCCCAGCAGTTCCTGCTCAGATAGTACAAAGGCTATTTACTTAATCCTTTGCTGTTTTTAGGATGAGGTGATAAGTGCAAGAAACTGTAGTTTCTGGCATCAGAGGATCACAGAAGACAGGTAAGCTAACTGTAGGATAGTAACTTAGATAATTAAACTTTTATTATACAGCAACCCTAAATATCTGGTAATACAAAGTCTTACCCTTCAATTTCATAAGACAAAGTCTTAAACCCCCCACCCCCAATGCTCTTCCCCCTCTGCTGCCTCAAAGAACTGACAAGAAGAATAAAGATTCTCCCCCAAGCCAGGGCTGGCTCCTGGCAGATAACCAGCTAAAGTTGAGCTAGATGTATTGAAAGGTGCCATGGGGATTTTGATGGAAGGGCTCCTAAGTGTAGGAGCAGTATTTGGCAGGTCTAGTCATCCTGTCCTTGGGAGAGTAGTAAACAAGAATAGGACATATATGTAGTATATGGTATGTGTGTGTGTGTGTGTGTGTGTCTGTGTGTGTCTGTGTGTCTGTGTCTCTCTGTCTGTCTGTTTGTCTGTCTGTGTGTGTGTCCATGTGTGTGTGATGTGCATGGATACCATAGAGTTTGTGGATGAATACATGATTTTGGTGAGGAGTAGGTCGTTATAGACACAAATAGATTGAGGCTAGCCCTGGAAGTCTTTGATCTGTGCATGAGCAGTCAAGAAAGAGAGTGCAGGAGCAGAGCAGCCCCTCTCCAAAAGAAACTGCACATCAGTCTCAGCATTTATCACTTGTAGCAATGTGTTCACCAAGCCTGGGGGGAGGGGGGTTAAAAGGAGACATTTCAGAATTTGGCTAATGTGTTCACCCAGGCTCTTCAGAAAAACACAAAAAAATAGACCGCAACTATATCAACATCAGGCAAAATAAAGATTTTTTTTTTAATGTGAGAGAGGGAGAGATGTGAGGAGACAGAGAACAATAATCCATGTACTTTCTGGAACTGGTTCCTGGACTGTGTGATATGTTGATTTCATGACGGATAGGGCAGGCAAGTGGGACACCAATGGGCTTATGAATTGTCACAGCCTTGATTAGAGGCTATGAGACAGCAAAGAGGAAAACCCAGTTGGAGCATCTGCATTTTAAAGCTGAAGAGAATTTCATATCCTTTGGCGAACCTCAGACTGTATTTGCAAGGCCTACAGATTTTTGTGGTTGAGTCAAGGTCACTCTCATTAATGAATGTTTTTCTTACAGATGTATAATATATTGATAAATCTACAAGTTGGCTCAATGTCAACTTGCTGACCAAGCTTAACGATCTTAGTGTGGTTCTTAGAACTCACACATTGGAAGGAAAGAGCTGATTCCCTCAAGCTATTTCTGACCTCCACTCATGTATCACGATACACATGAGCATCCCTTTCAACAACCCACCCCACCTCAAAACATTAATAAAAAAAAACCTTAAACTCCTCTGATTTAAATGTTAATTGCATTTAAAAATACTTTAAAAGCAATATCTAAATGAGCATTAATCAAACAGCTCAGGTCCCTCAGTTCAGCCAAGCAGATACATGAAATTAATTGTCACAATGTGGGGATTCAGATAGTTTACTGTAGCAGAACTTTTCCTAGAAAGAGAAGTTTCATAGCATAGTTGAATACATCTCCAGACCCCAACCAACAAATCACACATGACTCCAGTTTTTCCAACCTTTCTGGAAGCTACACATAAAAGAAAACAAAACAGAGTAACTCTTCATTAAGTCCATTAAGACTAAACTGTGGAAGGGAAGGGCTTGCTTAGACCAAATTACACAATCAAGTTACTTTGGGAGAAATCACTTTTCTGGGAGGCTTGGCAGGGTCACTGATTCCATTGTGGTGTTCTGTGCTGGTCTGTGTCAACTGGTTTTATACTCTAATAGTTAGTAGAATTAATCTTTTTTGTTTTTTACCAATATATTGCCTAAAACTGGTCCACCAGGTTGTGACAGGATATTACCATATAGATAGAGAATAGAAGTTTCCCTGCATCATCCTTTCATTCCATCCATGAGACAGGTTCAAACAGAGAGCTGCCTGTTTCCCAGGATAAAAATTCAGGTCAAGAGTCCAGGGGACAGTCCCATTGTGCAGGAGCACTGTAGCCACTCACAGCATATTTCCAGAAAAGAAAACAACACATGGCTATAAAGTAAGGTTTAGAGGCAAGTCTTTGTACAAAAGGATGGAGACAAGATATCAGAAAGCCTGTGGACTGACAAATGGAGAGAGGGTTGCAGTATTCACACACACACAAAAGTGAATGTTTTAAGTCAGGGTGTCCAGGAGCCCCAAGAATTGCTGTAGGCAACATGAACATTCTTAGAGAGATAAAACAACTTGAACCAGCCACGGAAGCAGCCACAGCCCTTTGTAGCCAGAACTGAGACTAACTCCCAATCTCAGAGTTTCACTGTAAGTCATCCATGTGGCATAAATAAGCTTGGTGAAACATCCCTCTTGCTTGCTTTTGCTTCCTTCACTGGTTCCTAGATCCTTGTCAGCCCACGTACAAATAAAAGTGAAGGCTTTGCTTCAGCATGAGTGAATGTTATTGACTCTGTGCCAATCAACAAAACCCTGTTTACTACAAACTCCTGCTGACAGTAAAGGATGTGACATTTGAAACAATATCACTGTAGTGAAGTGGCACAGGCCTCAATATGATTCAATACATCATACCCAGAAATGAAAATGTGCAGGAAAGTATCTTACGTTAAAAAACACAACAACCTGTAAGTCTGAGAATGACGGGCTGAGATATAAAAGCATTTCTCTAAATGTCATCCTAAAAAAATTCTCAGGATTAGAGAGACAGTGTACTGGAAATGCCTGCAAATTACTGTACAATTCATACACTTGTGTGTATAACTGCAGCTTGGCAGCAGAGTCACATTCAGATCCACACAGGAAATGCTTCCAGAAGACCTGCTTACATTTCTCACGATTACTAACACATTATGGGCACATTCCCACATCTTTGCTTAAAATGAGAAATTATGGCAGTGCCTTTAAAGCCACCCACTCCTTCCCCTGTAGACCACACAAAAATAAACCCCAAAACACTAAAGCTCACTGCATAAAAAATAATAATTTTTCCCTAAATATTTGTCATTGAGTAAATGAAATCTCACTTATAATAACATAATACAAACAAAACAGAAGCAAAATGAACTTACATTTGAAATGTCTGAAGAGAGTGTGTTGAGACTTGGTTTCCTCACTCCAAGAAAATGGCTTCTACTTCTCTCCAGACTCTATCATGTCTGTATTGGTCTCATTCTGTTTGCTTGTTTTGAGCATTCCCAGTCAGTCTGACTGCTTTTGGAGGAAGATTGTGGTTGTAATTTTCTTGGCCTGCTGAGTACTGTATTCACGTGACCACTCTTGAACAAATCTCTTTTTTCTTGACTTCCAGCCAGTTCCCAGAGCAGAGAGATTGCCAACCCTACTCATTCAACTAATTATAGTGTCAGAAAAATCTGTGTTTACTGAGGGAATCCAAATTTGTAACTTTTCTGGGCCCTCCCCCAAAAGAAATTGGCAGATTTCAAAAATAAAAAATAAAATATCATTCTTTTAAAGGTAATACATAAAGAACTCAGGGCTCTGAGCTCTGGACTTATTCTACAGTGTTGAGGGAGGTAATCTAATTAGATATCAGCATAGAAAGCAATATCTTGATTTTTTTTCTGTATCAAATCTTCCATCCTGTCCACTTTGTCCGTTCCTGATCTCAGCAGTGTTAGGCAATAGGCTCCATCTTTAAAATGTGTTCAGCATTATCTGTTGTGTTTTATAAAAAAGAAATAGAAGCCAGGGATAAGTTGGCAGAGGTGTGATATGGTGCTGGGGTGCGGGGGTGGGTTGCGGCGGGGTTCGGAGGCATAGAAGAAATGCTAACATTATGGGTCTTGGGAAATATGGCTCAGAACAGCATTCAGCTATGTATAGGTGATTCAAAACCAAAACTAACCATAAAACATAACCATAAAAGACGTTTGTTAAACAAGTCACAAATTTAATAGAAAGATATTAGTAAGGAGGGAAGTGTAAGCCACTGTTCAGCTAATATTTAGAAAATTCTATTTCATTTTCATAGCTAGAAAAAAAACAAAAAATAGATTTTGCGTGTCACTGCACTTTGAAAAATACAAGTCAACAAAAATTACTTGTGACTTCAGATAATATTCCATGGAGACTCCAAGATTACACAATGCAACCCATCAATTTTTAACCCAGAAAACAAAGAAATGCAGTTAAATCTCTGGGATCATTACCAATTCAGAATTCTGAGATGGTTTCTGTATTGCTGGTTGAAATGCACTCACAAGCTCTAGGACGAGGCTTTGCTGCTCAGTAAGAAGTCATGCCTATAGTTTTGTTCTGATTTTAAGCTTCTCTGTCAGGTCGCTCAAAGAAAAGACTGTTTCTTCCATAACTGAGGCTGTCATCTTTGAAAGAACTCTTTACTTCACTTCCAGACAGCTGCCACATTTGCTTTGTCAAAGGTTTTACTGAGCCCTACTTTGTTGAGGGCTTTTTTTTTCCTTTCAATTTTTCCCTTTTTTCTTCAGAGAAATGATTTACAGATTATTGTGTAAGACACCACTGGGGTCGTGTCTTATAAACATGCAAAGAGCCATGAACTACACACTAAACTGTTATTGCGACATCTACACTACACTATTTCATACTGACCATTTTTTATACTAATTCACTAATTTGTTCCAAAACAGGATTTTTTTAAATTGCTCAGTGTTCTGAGAGTAAAACCCCCAAACTTATAATAAGAAAACCTAGGAGAACTTTTTTTTTTGTAGGAGAACTTTTTGCTTGCTTGTTTGTTTGTTTGTTTGTTTTTGTTTTTGTATGAAGATGATAAGACCATGAAGCCATTGGCTTAACAGAGAACTTGGCCTAGCTCAAAGGTGTCAGCAGTGGTTCTTAACCTTCTTGCTACTGTGACCCTTTAATACAGTTTCTCATGCTGTGGTGACCTTAAACCATATCATTATTTTCATTACTACTTCCATAACTATAATTTTGCTATTGTTATGAATCATAATGTAAGTGATATTGGATATGCAATCCCTGGGGAAGTGTGATGACTCACAGGTTGAGAAACACTGTTTTAATAATTTATCATAACATGTTCCCGTAACAGCCTATAAAATCAATGGATTGTCTGGCTCAAAGTTCTAAACTCCTCCCACAATCCTCCCCCAAACAGCATGGTCTATTCTGTCCCCAATAATATCCCACAAATAGGGTACCAGTTTCCTACACAGAGGTAAACATCATGACCAAGTGTAACATGTGGAGGAATGGGTTTATTCCATTTTATAGCTCTTTGGTCACAGTCCATCACTGAGAGACACCAGAGCAGGGAATCAAAGCAGGAACCTGAAGGCAGGAAGTAAAGCAGAAGCCATCGAAGAATGCTGCTTGCTTCTTGGTTTCTCATATCTTGCTTTTTACTAATGCTGTCAAAGACCACCTTTCCAGGCAGAACCTGTTTCCAGGTAGCTTGGCTCTCCCACATTAATATTAATCAAGAAAATTCCATGGAGTTATATACAAGCTGATCTTATGAAATCATTTTTCTCAATTAGTATTTCTTCTTCCCAGATGTGACTAGGTTTGTGTCAAGTTGACAAAAACCAAACAGTGTAGGGTTTTAAGCAAAACAATCAGTCACAGAAACAAAGAGACAACCCACAGAGTGGAAGAAAACATTCACTAGCTCTTCATCTGTTCTAAGATTAATATTTCAGTACAGAAAGGAGTAGAAAATACGTCTAACTTATCAATAATCCAGTCAAATGGGTAAAGAAATTGCATAGCCTTTTCTCAAAAGAAGAACCACAAGTGGCTAATAAATACATTTTAAAAATCAACTCTTGCCTCATGGGAGATAAAAACCTTAAAACCAAAGCTATAATGAGAGTCTATTTCATCCTAGTTAGAATAGCTATTGTTAAACTTTTAAAAGTTGCTGATGAAAATTTAGAGAAAAAGCATGATAATATAAGACTAGTGGAAATGTATGTTTATAATATAGCCACTTGACAAATCGGGTAGAAACCCTCCCCAATCCAAAAGCATACCTGTGATAGGATCCACTTCTTCCAGGCTTGAATGTATACAGAAAATAGGTGAGTAACATCAAAAAGAATTGCATACACATTCATGTTTATTATGATACTATTCACAACATGCAAGATAAAGAATCAGTCTAGAAATCCATCAACAAAGGAAGATCTAAAGAAAGTTAATATCTACACACAATGAAGTACCACTAACCTGTGACAAAGAAGGGAATCCTGTCATCTGAAGGAAAATACATGGAATTGGAGGGCACCAGGTTGAACAAACTAAGCCAGACACAAACTTGTGGAGTATATGCTTTCTCTTATATGTAGAAATACATACAAAACCAAATATGGAAAGTAGAAGCACATAAAGGGTCATGAAGGGTTCTGAGGGAAGGATGCTGAAACATACATGTACTGAAAGGTCACAACTTCAGTTGCAACAAACCTTTAAACAAACAGTTGAAGTCAAGAATCCATACAATTAATGTGTTTTAAAATGACTATACTACAAAGAAAAGTTGTAGAGAGTGAGCTAGCTCAAAGGCTTTATTCATGATCTTCATCCCATTCAGAAGAGCTGTATATTCATGGTGTAATCAGCACCTTCTATCTCCATGGTCAAATGGCTTGCTCATCAACAATTGATGTGGCATTGAAGACAAAATTGCTTTGAGCAACTAGAGAAGAAAAAAACAGCCATAGCTAAAAATTTCAGTGTTAAGCCTCTTCCTGTGGGAGGAGCTTCCACTTCATTGAGGGATCAAGTTCCTCTTGAAAACCATCCAGCTCTTGTTCCTTGGAGAGTTCGAGGAAGACCTGAGGGGAGAGGGAGAGAAAGAGAGGGGAGAGGGGACAGGGGAGAAGGGAGAGGGGAGAGGAGAGAGGGGACAGGGGACAGGGGAGAAGGGAGAGGGGAGAGGAGAGAGGGGAGAGGGGAGAGGGGAGGAGGAGAGAGGGGAAAAGGGAGGGGGAGAGGAGAGGAGGGGAGAGGGAAGGAGGGGAGAGGGGAGGAGGGGAAAGGGGAAAATGGAGAATGGGAGAGGGGAGGAGGGGAGAGGGAAGGAGGGGAGAGGGGAGGAGGGGAAAGGGGAAAATGGAGAATGGGAGAGGGGAGGAGGGGAGAGGAGAGGAGGGGAGAGGGGAGAGGGGAGAGGGGAGGAGGGGAGAGGGGAGAGGAGAGAAGGGAGGAGGGAAGAGTGGAGAAGGGAGGAGGGAAGAGGGGAGAAGGAAGGAGGGAAGAGGGGAGAAGGGAGGAGGGAAGAAGGGAGAAGGGAGGAGGGAAGAAGGGAGAAGGGAGGAGGGAAGAAGGGAGAAGGGAGGAGGGGAGAGGGGAGAGGGGAAAGGGGAGAGGGAAGGAGGGGAGAGGGGAGACAGACAGAGAAATACAGAGAGACACAGAGACAAGGAGAGACAGAGAGACAGAGAGAGACAGGCAGAGAGAGATATCACAATACTTCTTTTTTCATGTAATAACCAACTTTATTCAGAGCATCAGACAATTTATACTCTGATAGTTAAGAAAAGTCAGTGTCCATGCACAAGGACAAACTGCCTGTGACTGACTTGCTGTACATGACAAAAAAAATTTTTCTATAGAAGTACATAAACAAATAACAATAGCAAATTTGATGACTTATCTGAAATAAACTGACTCCTACCTATCATACCTAGAAGGGGCATGGAAGCACATTCCAAGAACAACTCCATGTTTTCAGTGAAACTGAAGTCACAAGATTCTTCTCTTGTCTGAATCCAAAGATCATGCATTTAACGTTTCTGAACAAAAGTCCCTGAAATTGACCTACCTGCTCCAGGGTGGACTGTGAAAGACTGTACTCCTCCAGGTCAAAGCTCTGTTTAACTGTGTAAGAAAAACTATATATCAGGACTCTTGTATGTCAAGTCTTGTATGTGTACTAAGTCATGATATACCATAAATAGCAGCAAACTACAGAGAGCCACTAAATGAAATGACACACGATTTTTTTTCTGAGCACATTGCATAACTGAAATATATATAACATTTGCTTTGAATCATCAGAGAAATAGCCAGCACTACATTTGCATGCTATACAGGCTCTGAAGCTCTGCATCATGAGATACAATGATGCCTAGGACATCCCTAGGCTTTTTGATTCCCTGAGTAGCAAAAAAGTCATTGATTCAGTAGACTTGGCACAAAAGTAGGTTGTGAGGGGCAGAGATTTGGAAAAGAGAAAAGAAAGACATGGAGATAACGTAAAAAACTATCTAAAATGTTAACACAGCATGGAAAACTGTTTAACCAACTTGGACGGTTTAAGTCATGACAAATGGCATGTAGGTTTTAAGTGGAAAGATGGCCCCACATACAATCCCAAAAGCATCACGACAGTGATGTTCATATTAGAAAT